TAATGGTAACGTCGTCCACGAGGATCGCCGAATTTCCTATCGGTTGTAAGAAAACAATTTAGCCTTGTTGTAACGAGCTTACCTGAAGGGCTGTCGACTGTGAAAAAATCCGCTGGTTCGTTTGCTTTCGTGATATCTGCAAGATCGTGCTCTTCTTCCATGATGGAGGCCTTATCTCTGACCTCGCATCGATCTCGGTCTTCATTGAGAGCAGCAGCGCCGGCATGAATAACTATATCTGTAAGCTTAAGTTATTCCAGATTCAACGAATTGCGAAATGCATCAGCCCACGGTACCTTTATTGTTGAGAAGAGAGTTGGACTCTGCGGTCGCAAACAGAGTGCGTGACTCCACGTGAGAGGTATAAGGTAACTCAGGAGTTGGCCCTGAAAGGATATCCATATCCTTGACCCCTACACGATGTTTGTTTGCTTTCCCGTCGCTGGACTTGTGTTCGAGTGCTTCCGTCTTCGCCTTCCACTTTTTAGTTGGATTGGACTTAGCCGATGGTGGTTTATACGGAACGAACGTAAATGTATTGAGCCCATGGGGAGCGGTAGAAAAATTGTTAAATGGAGTAGACATTTTAAAGAATTCTTAGGATCCTGATTTTTCGTATGCTGAACGAAAAAGACTGATGCTCCCGTGAAGAGCTTCTCTTCCGTCTATATACTGTCTTCAAGGCGGCCGGTTGATAGTTGCATAAGTTTGCTTGAAGGACGCCCCTAGGCTGATAGGGCAGAGTGGGGACAAATGTCATGGCCTAGACTATGGCACGAAATGAGCTGCAAATGCGTTCGTTAGAGGGGGGCATGGAACCCGGTTACGATAATGCTGATCCTTCATTCCATACAAATCAGCCAACCATTGGGCGTTCTGACAGCCAATGTAGTAAGGGGTACGCGTATCTCGGCTTCGCTAGGACGGAGAACCTTGGAGGAGCGGCTGGTTGAGACAACATCCCTTGATAGCCAACCTATCGGCGCACGAAACATGCCTGCTTGCATGAAATAAGGCTGGCGATTAATCTCCCAAACTCAGTCTGCCGCATTCAATATCATCATTTTCCCAGGGTATGATCCACATTGGCCACTCACAGCCCGATCGATATTATTGTTGTGCTTTGGACTACCCGCTTCCTCGAGCGGAGCCAGACGAAAGCAGTGTTGAATATCAGCTTCTGGTCTAGTATCTGCAGAAGCCGGGTTTCAGGCCATCTACCCGCACTCAGAGTGCTGCATGAAGATTAGCCTTTATCGGACCAGTTTATTCGACAGCAGGGGCAAGCTGCAATATGAGGACAAAAGGCGCCGACCTGATAGCCTGTTCGAGTCTAGGCGACCGTGAGACGCTTGACCGTACTTGCTGGCTCTGACAGTGTGACAAGAGTCGAATCTGGCTCAGGTTGGAAGAGAAACAAGTTCGAAGGAGCATGTCGTATATAGATTGCTATGGATTGGCAGATCAGACTGCTCGTGAAAGGGCAAGGACAGCCTCTCTGTTACTGAGTGCGACAGTCGATACTAGAAGGAAAGCCGTGTCTCAAGACCTACAGAGGGTAAATGTTGTGGGGGCTAGTTGGGCTGAGCGCTGGGTCTGCGTGTGGATGTGGATGCGGATGCTGATGCGCGACATTAATGCCTCGTAGGAATTTGTTGGGAGACAGGCAGAGCTGAATTAGGCGATGGCATCCGGTACAAAGAGGCGGGACTAGAGGGAGATAGCTGGCGGGTGGGAATAGATGACGGGGGGTCGGTAGCCTTTTGTGGTAGGAGTCGAGGTCGATTCCCTAATTGGGCGGTATTACGAAGCCCTGTAAGCCAATGCTCGGATTACCCGAATAAGGTGCAACCATTTCCTGATGCAGGTCAGCCATTTCCTGATGCATGCTTGCCGTCTTATTATTTACTCCTAGTTTACAGATCTACCTTGTAATTAGATTATTACTGTTTCTCCTACTAGCTAGATTAACAACAACCTTACGCTCCTTAGCAAAAACACTTTAATGAAAAAAGGCGTTTTTACTGGGGCATATAACGTAGTTTAAAAAGGAACGCCCCCCAAGCAAAAGTAACGCATTTTTTGCTAAGACCTTACTAAACTTTAATTAAGTTGTAATGCCTTAACGTAATAGCGTAAAAATAATCTTAAACGAAGTAAATATATAGCTTGCGATACAGGCTATCTGAAGAGACGCGACACTAACGACGCGACGTGCTAGAGCTATCTATAGTGTCTCTAAAGTAACATGTTACACGGGGTTAGGCTATACTTCTCTAAGCTCGGTCCGTACTAAGGCGAGGTAGACTAAAGCGGTAAGCCGTGCGGTTTGTCTGGCGACTCGTGTGGAAAAGAGTTATCGAAGTTAACCAAAAGTAAAGACAATCCAATTCTATGTGCGATAGAATAACTAGTTGACAATCTGTGTAAGAGATGAACTATTTGAGTTGACCACAACGAGTGTAATAATGAAATCCAACACATTCTTATACCCATTGCCTTTAGTCCTGTCTTCCCTAACATCCCATCTTGGCGGGAGGTTTGGGAGGACGCTGGCATCCCTATATGCACTGGCATCCCGGATGCCCTGTCTTGGCGGGAGGCCAGGTCACGTGATCATTGCCCCGCGATGATCACTACCTTCTGACGTGGACGCCCGATGGTCTCTTACCATGCGACCTGCGTCAAGGAGAGATCCTTCCTTGTTACTTGTAACACATGGCAACTAGGAGTAGGTTACTGCTATCTAGGGCATAAACTCGATAGGGTAGGCAATTCTACCCTTTATTATCTTTGAAGGTAAGTACTACCTCTCTGCCTAGTATAAGGAAGAGAGCCTACCTTAACACTAGGTAACTGTAGTCTCCAAGAACGGCTAGACAATAAACAAGCTTAGTATTAAGTAGCTGGAGCACTTTAACAGGCATATTAAGGGGAGGGTTATTAGCAGCTACTACCTACTAGTTCTTAACAGTTATAAGTGCTACAGCGTAATTGATTTCTACTAGCTCTACAAGGAGAAGAAGATTATTACCCTCTATATACCTTTACACTCCTCGCACCTACTACAGCTGCTTAACGTTAGCTACCTTACGCTACTAAAGAAGGCGTATAGGTGTTAAGCTAAGAAGCTAATGTGTAATAAGATTACCTATATTGCGAAAATAGAGTTCTTACTGTGCTTTCTTACTGGCTACAAGGTCTCTAATACAAGGAGCAATATCCTAAGAGGCTTTTAGGGCGCTAGCTTAGAACTATATAATCTAGAGGCTGTTATATTAATACTTAATGTGAGGAGTAGTTGGGCAGGCACTGAGATATCGGTATAGGCTTGTATTGAGACGAATCCTTGAGGAGCTATCAAGCCTCTCAGAGGGATGATATATACCTACGTCACGTGATTGTGGCTGGTGTGATCCGACGGTGCCCCGAAGGGTTCCCGGTGGCTCACCAGTCTGTGGCTGGAATCCTGTGGTGATGGAACATCGTGACACTTAACGTCTTCCTACGTACTCTACTGTTACCTACTGTTAAGGACGGTCCCTAGTAGTCGTAACCCCTAAGTAATACTATAAAACTAGGGTCATAAACGAAGCTAGTTCTCGAGAGGGTTTAGAGGCATGTAGATAGCTCACCTACTTTAATAGTTAAGGCAGTAAAAAGCCTCTCTAAAGGCGTAGAGATAATAGCGCATAGTTTAGTGTTATTACAAAAGCGTATTACTAAGCTTAAAACATCTAACAAGGCTGCTACGCGACGTATATTGTATAACAGAAAGCGAGTACAGAAGGAGGGTGTGATGGGCTGGAGCCCAGTTGGTGAGTCCTCGATGATATCTCGGTCACGTGCGCGAGGCGCATACATGACCACCTTAACGTGGTTCTAAACCTGGTTTATATCTAACCGCGGTTTGATGGTGTTGAGTCTAAACCAGGTTAGTCCATTAGCTTAATGTGTTTCAACCGCAAAACGCATTAATGGCTTGGCAGGTACTACATGTAGGATGCAGAGATACAGCTCTTGATGCCGACAGGCAACAACGAACCGGGAAACGCCCCTTTATCGTATTACAGGCAGACTATCATGCTACAGGCAGTAGTCACTACCGATTAGTTATCACTTCTGTAGATTTGATATATTCAACGGCTATCAGTGTCAGCCATTCTAGGCCATTCTAGAATAGTCTGTTTAGAAATCACTGTGTATATAAAGCCCTACATTCAGATAGCTAGCAACTCAACCAACATCTACTTCTTCTCCTCACCTCTAGCTAAGAACTATCGAGATGATCGAGTGTATCGGCAACTGGATACGACAGAGGCGCATTAAGCCCGTTCGGGACAGTGGAGTGGGTCTACCGATCGATCCAGAGCTTCAGGAAACTCTCCTTGGTGTTGTGGATGAGGGAGCGGGTGGAATAGATTGGTATTAAAGCAAGTAACCACGCCAACACGTTCAAATTAATGCTTATGTACTTAACGCGGTTTTTTGACGCGGTTTTTAACACGGTTCAACACCATAATTAACGTGGTATGGTTTTGACGATACTAATATGGTATGGTCTAGAGCGATTCTTAATGTGGTTCAACCACGATAGTCATGTATGGGAAACAGTGTTAGTGTCGAGCTGAATGTTCACTGTACTGGAGAAGGTATCATACAAGCTCAATGGCCCGAACCAACTTTGTCACACGCCATGTGCTCTCGTCACACATCTTGATAACCTCGTCTAACAGGGGTCTAAGCATCGCAAGAGGGTCTTGCAACTCAAAAATCGGCTGCTGAGACGCTGTGAGGATGGTCTCAAGCGTAGCGCTCATTTGTGATGGTGCGCCGATGCATAAGACCCTGCTGGTGTTTGAGCTGTTTCACCGCGTCGAGAAACTCATCTCATACCACCTATAGTCCTTTCCATCTTCTTCTTGCCTTTCCTCCCGCTCCAGAACTTTCTTGGTGAGGATTTTGAACCACAGGCCTGCGATGTAGTGGTGAGTGATATATTAATGATGAAGAACAATAGAAGACGCACTGAAACTGTCAAGCTTGTTCTTATCACCATCTTCGGAAAAAGAGCTTTGAGAACCGCAGTAGCCATTGAGGTATGTGCAAGTGTCGTTGGTAAGTATACCCGGCGTATGAAACTGCACTAATATCTTCTTGCGGTCGTCCTCCGAGCAGTGTTTCTGGTACCATTCGCTCGACTCTAGGAAGCTAAAACACAGTGTTAGTTAAGAAGTCCGTATACGAGCCGTTGTCTTCATCTCACATAAAGCATACTTCTGGTAGGGTTACATTCTGACCTAACAGGTCCAAGCGGCGTGATTCCCAGGTTTTCGTCGAGGCTGCGAAGATGTCAGAGATTTCTGATAAAATGTGCAATAGACAGTTTGGGATTACAGCGGTACTCTAGTACAATTGCGAGGGAGTGGATAACAGTCATAATGGCACTAGGCCTAGAGTTCATTCAGCGTTATGGATTCGGATATTGTAAACGTGCAGTTGAGATCAGGGGGCAAGGCCGCAGTAGGGAATAAGAAGTTGAAACACTTTGGAAGCTATCAAAGTTGGCAGCAGACGGACGCCCGCTTGAGAACTGAAGCAGACTCGGAAAGTGCCGTGTCGATCACCAACAACGGGAAGCGTGGATGATCAGCTTCAGCCGTTCGCGAGATGTGGCGTCAGCGAACCGGATCTGCAGTGTAGCAGACGAGTCGACAAGTCCAGCCACTGGATCTGCCCACGTAGGAGGTCGTGAGACGGATCGATCAACCAACCCTATGCGCTATACCGGCCAGTGGACGAGTGCGGCAACGATAGATCGACGTGCTGCCTCCACATTTCCTATGGGCCGAGTTTATGCAGTCATGGCAGTCAGCTCAGCCGATAGAGTGTGGAGTGAGAAAGCTAGCGACGGCGCTAGCTCAGCGAATAGCAGACTCGCCCGCGCCGCGCCGGCATACAGTCCGTGCTTCTGCAATCCCTCAGCCCATCAGCTGCCAATTGCATGGCGCGCAACAAGGCCCAGCGACAGCAACACTCTTGCCAGAGCTGCCAGAGTGGCCAACTCGCTATTTCATCGATTCACACCCAGCACAGCGCTCTTGGAGGAGGCGGTGGCCGTGGCTAGATTGCGGGTGGAAGGGCTGAGCTTGAATCAAGGCAGGCGAGCTTTTATATAGGCAACCATTTTTCTTCCAGGTTTTTATAGATCCCATCAAAGCTGTAACTGTATACTTAGCGTGGCAGTTGTGGCTGCGGCTGAGCTGCATCTGCGGCGCATCTACGGAGGTGCATTTCAAAAGTCTTTTCCCACCCCCTGATCAACGCACAGATCAAGTACAGGGGTAAATCGGCCCGATAACTCCATTTCAATCAGTCCTACGTATATTCTTACCCTCTCTGTACTCATTTCCTCCCTCTAAACTAATGATCTGTTGGATATGGATTGGGATACGTTCAATCCAGTTCTGTATCTGCTCTTGAGACAGCTCATCCCAACACTGTTCCCAGGCACGGATAGCCTGAGCTCTGCTCTTTGGTGCTCCTTTCTTTGTTGTGTGCCTCTTCATCCAGAACCAGCAAGGCTCAATAGCGTTTAAGTCTGGTGAATTGCCGCACCAAAGCAACTGTGCTACGTGCTCTTGACTATACACGTAGCGTTGTACGTAGTGGTTGTGAGCAGGTGCTTTGTCCTCTTGAACAAGAGTACCAGGTCGCTCTTTTATACACTCCTTTGCAAAAGGAATTAGCTTTGGCCGCAAGATAATAGACTGGTAACGCCACCAGTCTATGCCTAAGCCTTTGCCTCGTGACAACTTACCATTCTTTTGATTCCATCTCCATTGAGGTTTCCTGCCAGGTTTTGTACGTAGACTAAGTCGCTCCATGCCTCTTTCAAGCTCCCACTTCTCTCTCATCAAAGGCTCTAACTCCTTGTTCAACTCATCAATCTTTCTTGCAGCCTCTTCCTTCTCCTGCTTTGTCTCAGGCGTCCAGCAGTGACAAGGTCCTTTCTTCTCGTACGTAAAACAACCCCAGAACATAAACTCAGAGTAACCTTTCCATCTCTCACGAATACAACTCTTTACAACAGCCTCATCAACCTTTCTCCACACTCTATACCCTCCACGCCGATGAAGAAGTACAACAGCAGTCTCATCAGTCCAAATGACGTTCTTCCAATCCTCAAGAGTCCAATCTTTATGCTCAAGGCACCAGTCTTGCCTCTCCTTCCTCATCTGTTTCGTCAACCCAGGCTTCCTCGTTGGCTTTGTCTTCTTGTATCCTGCTTTTCTGAGTACTCTCCATACCGTAGAGGCTGAGACATCTAGGCCCTCTTGGCTAAGATCACCAGCAATATCAGCACAGGTTTTCTCTCTACCATAACGATCTCTTCTCACAAGGCTTACAACCTTCTCAAAGGCCTGCTGTTGTTTTGAAGGCCTCCCAGATCGTGGTGCATCTTCAATATGCTTGTTCTCCAACTTCATAGGCCTCATAGCAGGATCAAAGCCTCTCTCAATTGCCCGAGCGTATATTGAGTTGATTGTGCGCTTCTCAGCACCAGTCAACCCGGTAATATCGTGATTTGTTTTCCCATCAGCCTTGTAGGCTACAATTAAAGCACGAGTTGCAAGATCAAAGACAGGCATAGTTGAATAAGAGATATAGTGTGGTAAGGTCATGAAAGCTAGAGAGAAAGAACACGTACACATGATATTCGGGCCGATTTACCCCTGTACTTGATCTGTGCGTTGACCAGGGGATGGGAAAAGACTTTTGAAATGCACCTCCGTAGTGTCAACGAGCTGAGATCGGCACGAGACAACCACCCGGTCTATGCCTTTTTCCCTCTTACCACTCTTAACAGCTTACCCTGTTCCCTTCTAGCCCCCTACTCTTTGAAAGACATCGAGGCAACCTACAGTGAAACCAATCTCAGTTTTCCTCACGAAGTCAAACTTGCCGCCCTAAAGTCCTTGTATTTAGGCGCGTAGCATCGTTGTCTGCTAGCACAAGTATGTCCGCTCAGAATAATGACTACGCTATTGGCTGGATCTGTGCTCTTAGTACAGAGCTCGTTGCTGCACAAGTCTTCCTCGACGAAAAACACGAAGGGCCAGAATATGTGTCCCAGAGAGATAACAACAGCTACACGCTGGGCAGGATCGGGTTACATAAGGTTGTCGTTGCTGTCTTGCCAGACGGCGAGTATGGCATAGCGTCAGCAGCAAGCGTCGCGACAGATATGCTGCACAGCTTTCCTAACATCAGGCTTGGTCTGATGGTCGGCATTGGCGGTGGCGCTCCAAGCAGAGAGCATGATGTCCGTCTCGGCGACGTTGTAGTGAGCACTCCTCGCGACGGGAGTGGAGGTGTGCATAGATGGGCAACCTGTAAACATGATAAGCAGGATAAGGAATCGCTTATGCGGTTAGTATTCCGATTGGGCAAAGTGCAGGTCTACACATCCTGAGCCTGCGCAAGCGCGTGGCTCTTACAAGCCCTACGCACCTCTGCGCACAACGCTATACTATCTCTATAGGGGAAAAACAGGTGCAGAAATTGTCTGCACATCATTGCGACATAGTGCACAGTTTTTTGCGCCGAAATAGGTTAGTGTTGCTGTGCGCAGAGGGGGGTTGTTGATTTTGGTGTTCCTACCCCTGCCGACGGTTCCTTATCCTGCTTAACATGTTATACAGGTTGCCCATCTATGGAGGTGTGTTTCAATACGACTTTGGCAAGACGATACAAGACCAGAGTTTCCGAACAACAGGGTTCTTGAATCAGCCCCCACGAACCCTGCTAGCAGCGGTGAATGCACTCAAGGCAGATTACGAGGCAGAGGGACATCATTTCGAGAGCGCTATTGACAGCATCCTAAATAGGAGGCCAAGGCTTCGGAAGAAGTACATGCGGCCGGATCCAAGCGCTGACCGGCTGTATCAAAGCGAGATCATTCATCTTCCAAACTACGGAGCCAGCTGTGTTGCAACCTGTGGCGAAGATCCATCAGTCTTGGTATCGCGACCTGGAAGGACTGAAGGGCAGGACAATCCGGCGATTCACTATGGCTTAATTGCCTCGGCGAGCCAGCTGATGAAGGATGCGTCTGTGAGAGATAAGTTGGCAGCGGAGAAGAATGTTCTGTGTTTCGAAATGGAGGCGGCCGGTTTAATGAACAACTTCCCCTGTTTGATTATACGTGGTGTGTGCGATTACTCGGATTCGCATAAAAACAAGGAGTGGCAAGGGTATGCAGCGATGGTGGCAGCTGCGTATGCGAAGGATCTCCTCCGTAAGATCCCTCCGAGTAAAGTCGAGGCTGAGAAGAAAATCAGCGAGATACTATCTTCTGGTTAGTTTGCTTAGCAGCATCGAGAAGTAGCTTAACTAAATAAAAGGTAGTTGAGCAAAATGTATGCGAGGTACGTCGGGACGTCGAGGGACTGGCACGCTCACATCGGCGGACCGGCCTCTATCGCTGGCTGTCGCCACCCGATTCGTCAGCAAACTATAACAAAGCATTGCGACAGCGCCAGGATGGCACAGGCTCTTGGCTCTTTCAAAGCGATGAATTTGCGGCGTGGCAATCGCAAAGACATTCTTTCTTGTGGCTTTATGGCATACCAGGATGCGGCAAGACTATTATCAGCTCTACTGCCGTGGAGTATCTTCAGAGCCTTCCTACCAAACCCTTGCTCTACTTCTACTTCGACTTCACCGATACCAGGAAGCAGACTCTTGAAGGCGTTGTCCGTTCTCTTATCAATCAACTATACTGCACGTGTAAGGATACTCAAGGGCCGTTAGATGCGCTCTTTTCCTCTTCTCAGGACAGAAACACGCAGCCAAGTATCGACTCGCTTTGTAACGTCCTGCTGCGAATGATCGATCGAATACAAGAGGTCTGGATCGTTCTGGATGCGCTTGATGAGTGTGTTGAACGCAAAGGGGGTCGAACGGAGGGGTTGCTCTCATGGATACAAGACCTTGTGAATTTTGAGCAAAGGAACGTGCATTGCCTCGTCACAAGTCGACCAGAGCAGGACATCCAAGCAACACTATACGGCTTAGTTAGTGAGAACAGTAAAATCTGCATCCAGAGCGACCTGATTAATGGCGACATATCTGTATACATTCACAACAGAGTCAGGGAGGGCGAAGGATTAAAGAGATGGCGGCAGCAAGCGGATGTCCAGCAAGAGATTGAGGACGAACTCAAGGAGAAGGCGAATGGCATGTGAGTAGAATAACTTTATCTGCCTGTAACCCCATTATGTGGGGTGGTGTAAGTTACTGATGGTACGCAGGTTCAGATGGGTGGCGTGTCAAATTGACGCCCTAGAGGACTGCTTGGACTACCGCACCCTTAGGAGCGCGCTTGCTTCACTCCCGAGAACGCTGGACGAGACTTACACAAGAACATTGAATGCGATTCCAGACAGCTACAAACCAACCGCGCTAAGGATACTCCAGTTCCTAACGTTTTCAGAAGGACCTTTAAGGGTCGAGGAAGCCGTTGATGCAATAGCCGTAGACTCTGATCAGAGTCCATACTTTTCCCCCAAAAATCGAATGCCCGCACCCCAAGAGATCACGCGGTACTGCTCAAGCTTGGTGATTATGGTGACGAAGCATTCCGGGACTGGATATCAAAAGGACGACTACTTTGAGCTCCAACTAGCTCACTTTTCAGTTAAGGAGTTTTTAGCATCGACTCGAACGGACGGCAACATTAGGAACGTCTTCGAAGACGCTGTAGCCAGTGCATCTATAGCAAGGGTTTGTATTGCATATTTGCTGCAGTTCGAGAACGATCTTCCGCTTGAGGTAGTAAGGAAGGCGTTCCCGTTTGCATTGTACTCAGCGAAGTATTGGATGGACCATGCACGAGTTGCCGAAGACGGAGATAGAGAAGATACTGAGTTAGTCAAGCAACTTCTCTGTCATCAAAAAAGCTCATACAACTTATGCTACAGTCTCTATCGTCCGGATCAGCATTGGAATCACAGGTTCGACGAAATTGTAGATGCGCCAGCTTCTGCAATTTACTATATGGCATTTGGAGGCTTGCATAAGGCAGTAGAAATGTTACTCAAGAGTGGTGCCGACGTCAATGCACAAGGTGGAGTCTACGGCAACGCACTCCAGGCGGCTTCAACTAGAGGCCACGAGGCGGTGGTCAAGATGCTGCTCGACAGGGGCGCCGAGGTCAACGCGCAGGGTGGAGAGTACGGCAACGCACTATCAAGATGGGCGATGAAGACAGTGATCATGTGACTGATGTTGCATGACTAATTAGCGTCAGTACTTAGTCTTAGATCTCACCTTGACAATACGATAACTCTTACACCCCCCAAGTTTTGACACGCACTGCAGGCGGCTTCAGAGGGAGGCCACGAGGCGGTGGTCAAGTTGCTGCTCGACAAGGGCGCTGACATAGCCCTCCCTGACGAGAACGGACGCACGCCAATCAACACAGCGTCAAGCAGTGGCCATTTTTCCGTTGCCCGCCTATTGCTAGAAAGGGGAGCATATACTGTAGCCCATGGCGCTGATCTTCTTTACGACACCATTATGAACCTTTTTGCTTTTATGGGTCATCTGGGTCTTCTGCGTCTTGCTCATGAGCAGTTCCATGACGACCTATATCTTTCACGTACTCATGGTCGAATGCCACTTCACTTCGCTGCTAGTGGTGGGCATATGGACGCTTTTCAGTATCTTATCAGCCTAGGCCTTGACCCTACCACTACGGACGCAAAAGGAGATGATGTACTTTGCTATGCATCTTCAGGTGGATCTTTTGACATTGTTAATACAATGTTGGAGAAAGGTCACAAGCGCCCCTGCGAGAGTGCGCATTGGGACCCTATTCACTGGGCATGTAGGGCGGGGAAGCCTGAAGTTGTGGAATTGCTGATTAGGGAGGGATTTTGCAGCAGAACGGTAACTATCCCAGAATCTGAAGGCCAATGGAGTCCTCTTACCATTGCTTTCTTCCACGGGAACGACGAAATGCTTGAAAATCTGTCTACGTCCTGTAGAACTCATCTAGGTACAGAAGCTAACCCTGTCCGACTCCGTGGTGAACGTCATAGTGGCTATTGGTCAGACTTGTCAACAAACAAACTGATCTACAGTTTGAATACCTAAACAAGCTAGTTTCCGTCCGGGATTTCCTGTCTAAGTATTCAAACTGTAGATCGGTTTGTTTGTTGACAAGTCTGCTATTGGTGCAATGGATGCTTGCATGTAAGTGAATTGACGTTAGCATAAGCGTTCGAACAGCATCTCACGTTAAAGCAGAACATCTATGGTCCACGTTTTCACTGTCGCACGTGTTTGCATCTGGACTATTGCTTTATGTGCAAGCCTTTCCTTGGGTATCTGCACGAGAATCACGAGTGGGACTATTTCTCGACCCATCATTAGCCTCTCAGTACGGGCGTTAGGTTGTTTGGAAGAAGCATGCTTTAGCTATCCATGATTCTTTGCCTTTGACAAGAGAGCAACATAATATTTGAGGTCCTTGGTTCTAGTACGAAGGCTGGAATTGGGTGATCTAACTAGCGCATTTATCCAAATCACAAGCTAATCTAGGACCGCCAAGTCACATGTACGCATACCCACATATGCTCACGCGTCTACCTAACCTTGCATTGCTTCTGACTGGACCGTCAGTCCTTGCGCTACTCGCGCTCAGTATGGGATCGCAGCGCAGCCTTTGTTTGGTTCCAAGCCCACTCCAAAGCTTTGTACTTCGACATCTCGGAGCTGAATTCGTCATTCTTGCGACTAATGTCCTCGCACATCATAGTGTAAGGTTTACACCACTCAATTATAATAGAAATGTCGTCTTTAAGTGTATCTATGATTGATCGAGTCATAGTACACCGAGTCTTGTAGCATCACAACCCGTGGTCTGATGTAATACGATATCCACTTTCATCGTGAACGTTCCTACGACCCTTCTCCAGACTTGCTACCAGTCAGTCTATTCAGTTCAGACTGACTGAACTGACTGAGTCTTGGCAGTCAGTTCAGTCAGTCTTCGTTCTGTCTGGATATCAGTTCAGTCAGTCCGGAGGCCTCTAGACAACAGTTCAGTCAGTCTAGAGGTCTCTAGACTGACTGGACTGACTGAATTGAACTGAATTGGACTGAATTTTGCTATTTAAAGCCGTGTTTTGCAGTCACGATAGCAACTTCTAGTGTTGCTTAGAATACGCCTTGTTGTTGCAACTAAAATAGACGCTAGTCTTGGATAGGAAGATACACTAGCTTTGCTTAGGTTAGAGTTAATCCTAAGCCAATCAGACTCTGCTAATCGCGCTACGGCCACATAACAGCCTTGACGCGTCGCGCCCACTCCAGCAACCTGTTGCTATAACACTGTCGCCACTAAATAGTTTAGTGTGCTTTATGTCTACTCCTTCAAACTCAAGCCTCCGCCGCCTTGTCGAACGCGATAAATGCAGCTCTTCTCTACCGTCGCTATCGAATACGCCCACTATTGGGGATACTGCGAGCGAGGCTCAGCCCGACGGGTCCCAGCCCGACGAGCCCGTGGCAATACATGCGGACTTACCTGACGACGACAACTATTACGTTGGGCTTGATTTTAAGCGCGTGCCGTACCTCGAGCGACGCCAAGCAGAGCGCAGTCGCGGTGCAGTAAGGAGCTGGATCTACCGCCACGGCTGGGGCGTATGGCACCGCAAGCACAAGAAGAACTACTGGCTTTGCCAGATCTGCCACAAGCAACGGCGTCAGCAAGAGGCCTACTACGAGGCTGATAGCACTACGAACGCCGGTCGACACCTCTCAAGCAACAGGCCTGGGCACTCACTTGGACCTAACGGACCTATACTAATTGCTAGCCGGGAGGGCAACATTATGGGCGCGCTCGCAAAATCACAAGTCCACATAATGAGGTCTAGAGGTGTAGAGGTCTCTCAGGAGGTTGCTAATGAGATAGCGGCAAGCTTTTCATCCTCTCGGTTTCAAGACGCGCTAAAGGACTGGATAATTGCTGACAACCAGAGCCTACGCGTAATAGAGACGCCGCAGTTTCGAAATATGATCGCGGCCGCAAGTCCCCTGGCAGAAGCCCTCCTTTGGCGTAGCCACCAGACGCTCCGCGATCATATTATTGCTGAGTACAACGCGTACGTACCAGCCGTTGCCGCCTACCTTCGCGAAGCCCGGTCGCTCATACACGTTTCCTTTGACAACTGGACCTCAACTGGCGGACAGTACGCTTTCACCGGCCTCTGCGTACACTACCTTAACAGCGAGGGCAAGCTAGTTGACCACCTGCTCGGGTTGCCTGAGCTCCACGGGGCGCACACTGGCAACAATATCGCCTCAGTAGCGGCGACAATACTGCGGCTATTTGGTGTTGACGACACAAGCGTTGGATACTTTGTGCTTGACAACGCAAGCAACAACGATACTGCGGTTGAGTCTTTAGCAGAGGAGTTCAACTTTACTGCGAGCGAGCGGCGGCTGCGCTGCTGCTGCCACATCCTCAACCTAGGCGCGCAATTAGTAATTTGGGGTAAGGATCGTAGCGCGTACGAGAACGACGCCGCTCACCTTGACGACGAGGAGAAGTACAGGGATGAGTGGCGCAAGTACGGCCCTATTGGCGTCCTTTTTGACGTAATTGCATCCATCTGCACGCCGCAAACTCGACAGCTATTAGAGCGCCTCCAGCGTGACGAGGCAGAGGCGATAGGCGTTACAGCTAACATCCGGCAACTTGTCAAGCCTGTTAAGACGCGCTAGAATAGCTATTTCAACACTTTTGTGCGCGCAGCTGAGCTACATGGTCCTATCGACAGCTATATTGAGATCAAACTCAAGGAGCACAGCGCCGCAACAGCACCATCACGACGCCGGAAGAACCGCGAGCAGCTGCCTGCTGCGCAGCCGCGACTATATGTACGCGAGGGCGGACTAAGCGGCAAGGACTGGGCCACGATTACAGAGTATATCCAACTCCTCGAGCCATTCGCCGAAGCTACACAGCTGCTTGAAGGCCGCGGCCGACATGGCCGCCACGGCGCTATATGGGAGGTTCTAGTAACGTTTGAATGGCTTCTTGACCAGCTTGAGGCTCTTAAAGACCGCCTTAAGGACATTAATTACGAAGATCCTGACGCGCCTGAAGACCATCTTGTTACGCACGTTAACCTTGCGCATAGTAAGCTTGCTGAGTACTACGAAAAATTCGATAACGCGCCTGTTTACTAAGCCGCTACAGTCCTCCACCCGCACTACAAGAACCACCTTGCGGCGCTCTGGAAGGTGCCTAACACCCATGTCACCGCCCGCGACGGCGTCCACTATCGCGATGGCTGGCTTGATAATAACCATCGGGCGTTCTTGCGAATGTGGCAGGAGCGGAGCAACGCTGCGGTTGACGTAGCCGACGCAGTAACGCCGCCGCAAAAGAAGCCCCGGCTAGGGTTGTCAGCGTCGCGATCAGCCTTTCTGCAGTCGTCGATTGAGACTAATCTGCGGCAGGTAGAAGCAAGTCTGAAGGAGGATGAATACGAGATTTGGAGGCGGCAACCGGCGTTAGCTGAAGAGGATCGGCTGTCGCTTAACCCGCTGCTCTACTGGGAGTCAGTTCTGGGCAATTTCCAGTACTCTCTAAATTTGCCATTAACATACTCACAATACCAGCGGCAGCAGCAGACTGCGAGCGGACATTTAGCGAGCTTGGCGACATGTTAGGCACGCGGAGACTCCATATGAAGCCAGAGCTTGTCGCAGCTTTACAGAGTTTAAAGAGCTGGAAGAGTCTTGGTATACAGCCTGCAGCCACCTCTACTTATGGGCCAGCACATGTACTATCAGAGGAAGAAATTTCAAAAATACAAGAGCAGCTGTCTCAGTTTGACATTAGCTAATTTAGTTCAGTTAGTTTTAATTTACCCAGAAGGTCTTGGCAGTCAGTTCAGTCAGTCCACAGTAGCAGCAACGTCAGTTCAGTTCAGTCAGTTTCAATTTACCTAGAAAGTCTTGGCAGTCAGTTCAGTCCAGTTCAATGACCTTCAAACATCAGTTCAGTCAGTCCGGAGACCTCCGGACTGACTGAACTGACTGATAGCAAGTCTGGGCGAGAGCTGTTGAAAGATTCAAGTTTGCATTTGGAGAATACGACTACGAAAGGGAGTACTCTCTAGCAAGACGAAACGCTTTTGGGATACGTGACAGACAAGATATAGGTGAGTGAACTTCTGAGACCACCATGATCACAGCTAACAGAAGACCGTAGCAGCATGGCTATAATGGAGACAACACCATCGTATTCGCAATCCATATCGGACCTCGTCGTTCCTCCTCACCTCATTATTCTTGACGTCTCTGGTCGCAAATATCGAACACAGAAAATTACACTCCAAACTTCTGCGTATTTCCAGAACCTTTTGTCTAGATGGGATGACTGCAGTGATAGACAGGAGGATGGCTCCTACTTCATTGATGCTGATACAGACGTGTTCGAGCATGTCTTACAATTTATGCGACGTCCGTCAAAGTTTCCCCTGTTCTGGACGAAAGAGATTAGCTTCGATTACGCTTTTTACAACAAACTTGAAGTGGAAGCAGATTACTTTCTCCTTCACGACTTGCGTGACTGGATAAGGAAGAAACGTCATCTCAATGCTGTCAAAACTGTCATCGAAGTTAAGGTATTATCTGAATACGAACTGAGTGATGGCCGGAACCAGAGCAGATGCGATGCGGACATCGAGGTTCAGAGCTTCTATGGTTCGTACTCAGGGGAGAGGCGGTTTCGGAATTCGTGCGCGATTCACAAAGAGAATGACAACATAAGGGGCTGCAATTCTTGCGAGGAATTCATGCGGACGTTTGGACCATACTATGATGATCCGCCGAAGAGACTCATCGTGGTGACCAAAAGAACAGAGTTTGACGAGACCGTCTGCGTGAATGGGATAGACTCTTGATGGTTAGTGACGCAGTCAAGGGGGCTGATATCATGGAAAACTTGCCTATGTTAAGCTTAGGATCCTAAATCAGAATTAACTTGGCGCTTTTCGGTCACGTCCATTTCGGAAACTACATGTTGAAGATGCTCTTCCGCTTCCTCTGCATGATAATTTCCCCTTGTACCCTATCTATATAGATATGGACACTATTATTTAGATCGATTGGCATGGACCTCAAAGTTTGGCAATTTTGGATACATTTGCTACAGATCAGTTGATGAGTCTAGGAGAAAAACATGTCGTGTGAAATTTTCCTATTGCCCCCGAAGCCAGATTAAAACAGAACCCTTCAGAGACTGCGTGCGATTTATCTTCTCTGTTCCACATCCTTATATAGTCCCCCGCTTTCCATTTAACATGACCCAGAGAACTAGAGCTTTCATTCGACGTAGTCATGCATAATTTGGTGTCTGTGAATGGCTCTGAGTCTTCTTTTTCTAGAAGGTCGACTGAAATCCGCCCAGCCGTTTTATTTCGTGGGTTGTACGCTATGGCTTCTGTACGGTTATTGGTCCATGCGAACACAATAACCCGATCGCCGGAATTCGCCACGATATGCTTGTAATTCCCGCAAAGATATGCATCTCTGACGGAAATTGCGAGAGGAGGATTCAAGATATCGTGGGTGGGCGTCGCAAGTTTCGTTTGCGGTTGAGTGACCACGGTGGGGCGGTCGGGAAATGTGACCATTAACTCGGATAACAAGTCTTCGATTTCCCCGGGTACAGAGCTTGTTTCACGGAGGAATAGCAGTTGCTGTTTCGATGTTATTGGGTGGCACTAGACGTATAATTTGGATAAGTGCAGGACGGCTTACTGCTCGAAGTATACGCATATGCATCTTCGCGCTGGATACGATAGATGTTCGCTCATCAGACATCAGTTTGGAAATCGCCTCATCTGCACTTGACCGGGTCGCCATAGTACGCAGCAGATAAGGACAAAGTATAGACCATACGCAAAACGCTGATATGGGCCAACTTGTGGTCGGGTTAGAGAAGGAAATGGAGGTGCGGGGTAGGATGTTGCCGATTTTATCGTTGCGTATAAGTTGCGACAGCGCTATCTCGGCTTGCATTGGCACGCTGGGACCACGAGCAGTCGTAGGCGTAACGTAAGCTCAGCCCCCCCGCTTCTCGGCCACCCGGGCTTTGGGTCACCTCAACACGATCGCCAGCGACCCCGATATGCCCGGTTGCACCCAGTACCAACATCTAATGCCCGAGATTTTCCCTGTTGTTATGATCGTCTGTAAGCCCAGGGTACCTTGCATGGTCGCGTGGACTATTCAGCGGCCAATCAGCCCACTACTCTATGTATATAAGCTTAGATCACAGACCTCTCGGTGATGAATACGCAGAATACACACAATCTACCTACAGTTATGAGCCCGGCCTAATCCGCTCTTTCTATTATTGAACCGTCCTACCTATCTACTCTACTGTCTTACCTTACTACAAGCGTCACTACCAGCATGTCGAAAAACACTGTTACCTCAGACATTGTCCTCCAAGGCCAAAGCAACTGGGAACTCTGGATCTTTGTTGTCAAGCGCACTGCTGAAGCAGGAGACGTATGGGAGTATATTGATCCTGACCAGATCCATCTTCCACTCCATAAGCCTGAGAGGCCTGTTCGACCAGCACCTACTGTCAATGCTGATGGATCTCCACCAACTCAGCCTACTCAACAGGCTCTCATGCAGTACAATCAGGATCTCAGCAACTACTACAAGGACATCAAAGAATACAGACGCTTGAAAGATAAGTTGGGACAAGTTGAAGCACACATTACTAAGACAATTCAGCAGGATCTACTCTATCACATCAAAGACAAGCCAACGATCTATGAGCAGATAAAGACGCTTCAAGAACTCTACTCTCCAACGACTGCTGATCAAGAATATCGCGTTCAAAAGGCGTACGAAGCAGCCAAAGTCCTACACGCTCGACGATCGAATATCGAAGACTGGTGCAGTGAGTTCATCACAGCCTACAACCGTGCGAAGCAACGATCTACCTGAAGTACATGGCTTCCGAGCACACAAGGATCTCGTACGAGCTGTGAAGCAAGTTGATGCTGCATACGCTGCAAGTGTCTCATTCAACATCTTCAAAGCTGAAGAGACATGGAATTTAAATCGCAACGTGCCTATACCAAACCAGTCGCAGCTGTCTACCATCCTCGCAAACTTCCTACGCTATCATCGAACGACACACTCAAGGAAGACAAACATTCATGGAGGTGTATTTGGAGCTACTTTGAATGGCCAAGAATCTCCATACAAGAAGAAGAGATCAAGAGGTGATGAGACACCATCAAAGCCCTGTCTATGTGGAGACAATCACTTTTGGGGTCAGTGTCCATACATTGACACAGCTCTCAGAACACGAGGATTTGTTGAAGACCCGGAAAAAGCCAAGAAGATTACGACATTTGAGAAATCAGACACAAGAGGCTTACTGAACAAGATTCGGGAAAGAATCGGCGCCACAAGAAGCATAAAAGCAAGGAAGCTGATAAGCGAGTCGAACCTGATTCGATCGATATCGACGCCGGCGATCAGCCTACAGACCGATCCATACACAACGCATATGCAGTCTTTTCGTCCGCATTCAACAATCAGCTAACATTCCGACACTATCCGCTCCTCCACTCATGGACGCTGGATCCTGCCACTGATGTCCACATCTGCAACAACCCTGCTGAATTCCAGTGGAAGGCCCCAGCAGCTGACGACGACATTGTCCTAGCAGGGGGTTCAGAAATGTTGATTGAAGCATGGGGAGAAGTCACAATACCTCTGTTAACACCAATTGGCATCAAGACAACAACGCTGAAACGAGTAGCGCTAATCCCATCTTTCTTCACCAGCCTGGTCTCTCTCTCCGTCTCACGTCATCAGATGTCCACTTTGACTCTGGTCGAAACGTTCTGTACCGCGCAGGAACACCCCAGAAAGAAGTCGCAAAGCTTACTCAATTGGGAGGTCACTGGCTAGTCGTGCATCGCTCTCAGCCTACAGCACTACCCACACAGCATTCAGCCTTTGCAACCAATCAGCGCAGGCCTCAGTACTCAGCCTTGCCACTCAAGCCTCGATTGCTCACAAAGCCACAGCTTCATGTCTTGCTAGGACACGCAGGCAGTGATGCTATCGACCAGCTATCAAGCCACGTCAGAGGCATACTGCCACCTACAGGTTCTGCTCCAGCTACGATCAACTGCGAAGAATGCTTGCAGAACAAGGCACACCAGATTATCTCACGTCGTATTGGACACGAGGTTGGCGCATCTCGTCCTTTCGAAACAGTAGCCATCGACCTCATCCAGCTTGACGTCACTGGCTACAACGGACATCGATACGTTTTCCATGGATTTGACCTATGCACAAAGCTCAACTTTGTGTATACAATCGCAAAACGCGACAAGGCAACGCTGCTCAAAGTCCTTACTCGCCTTGATCGATCTATCAAGCGCGAATTCAATACCACGGTCACATTTATCATCGCTGACGATGAGAAAGGCTATGGACTTACAGACAACTCAGCACGAGCATACTGCAATCAAGAAGGAATCAGACTTCAGATCAGAGCACCGCATACTAAGGAGCAGAATGGATCTGCTGAACGTTCAGGCAAGAGCCTGATCATACGAAGCCGATCTATGAGCGTTACATCAAATCTGCCTCTACCGCTCGCTCCTGAGATATACGTTGCTGCAGCCTATCTACTTAATCGCACACCTACACGAACAATTGGTTGGAAGACTCCGTTTGAAATGGCCTACTCGAAACAGCCTTCAATTGCTCACCTGCGAGTATACGGCTGCCGCGCATACGCACTCCGCCCACAGATACCACGAGGTGACAAACTATCTCCACGCGCACTTATTGGATATCTGGTTGGATACGACTCCTCAAACATCTACCGAGTTTGGCTACCAAATGCAAGGGCAGAGCACATCAAGGAAGGTCATTCGGATACGAGATGTGACATTCAAGGAAGACCTCTTCTATCAGCACCAGGACGAATCTGATCTAATTCTGCAAGGCGAGGAGCTTGAGACAATCACTCACACACTTCAAATGCCACCTATACAAGATCTGGAAGACTCTTCAGAAGACGAGTATAGTACTGCACCAGAACTCGACCAGGTAGTATTCAGCTCACCTCTGGACGATCACTCAAAACCTCACGATCTGTTCAACAGTGATCCTCTCTTGCCAACACCAGACACTACAGTCTCTCCTAATTTAGGTGCTGATTCACCTAATCAAGCCTCATCAGCTACTCTTAGTCGCAGCCCTACACTAGACCTCCAACCTTCTACTCAAACATCAAGGAAGCGGAAGCGAGACAACGCAGTTGACACGAATGATTCAAACGCTGCACGAAACCGCGAGCTAATCGATAGCAACCTACGCGAAACGCATATCCTTCCTGAAGGATCAACACGAGCTCGAAAGCCTTCTCGCAAAGCAGCAGCTTCTTCGTCAACAAATATTGGTCTGCCTTTGTGGCGGCATCCACTACAGCTTCTAAAACGCGATTTCATCACACAGATCTTCCCCCTGAACCTCGATTCTACCAGGATGTGATGAAGCTACCAGCCCAACACAAGCAAGGCTTCATAGCAGCTATGCACCGCGAAATATCTGACGTCAAGCGCAAAGGTACCTACAGGATCATCAACTGGAAGGACTTCAACGCTCAAGACCACGAGGTCCTGCCACTGCTCTGGGTATTCAAATACAAGCTTGACAGTGAAGGATATCTCACCAAGTACAAGGCTCGAATCTGCGTACGAGGCGATCTTCAAACCACGGCTGAGGATACGTACGCTGCCACACTAGCTATCCGGATATTTCGAGCTCTGATGGCCATTGCAGCCTACTTCAACATGGAGGTTCGACAGTACGATGCAGTAAACGCCTTCACGAATGCTCAGCTTGCTGTACCAGTATACTGCCATCCACCAGAAGGCTTCTCTGACCCTGACCATCTCTGGAAACTGCACCGTGCGCTGTATGGCTTGAAAACCTCGCCACTCCTATGGTACAAAGAACTCACAAAGACTCTTAAAGAGCTTGGATTGCAAGAAGTCAAAGATGCACCATGCCTATGGAAGAACGACAAACTGATAGTATTCTTCTACGTTGACGACATTGTCATCCTCGCTAGACCAGCTCACACAGCTGCTCTTAACGACTTTGAACGCAAACTGCTGCGACGCTACGAGATTCGGTCGCTTGGGGAGCTAGCCACCTTCTGCGGTATACAGACGCATCGCTGCAGGTCAACTGGAACAATGTGGCTATCACAAGCAGCATACCTTGACAAGCTCAGTGCTAAGTATCCATCACCAAAGTCATTCAATCGACCTCCAGCCACTCCGCTTCCACTTGACGAACTGCTTCCTTCTGACGAACCAAAGAGCGATTCCAACAAACTCAGATACGCACAACTAGTTGGATCAATTGGCTATGTTGCCACTGCTACTCGACCTGATGTTTCTAAAGCTCACTCAAAATTGGCAGAATTTCTAGTCAATCCAGGTCAGCTTCACATTAACGCTGCTTACCAGACGCTTGCCTATCTATACGCAACAAAGGATCAAGCGCTCTACTACGATGCTTCCATATCCACCGACATCGCTCACATCGTCCATCACGATGAGCCAGACTTCTTTGGTGCAACCGACGCCTCATACGCAGACCACAAGGCCACACGGAAAAGCTCTCAAGGCTATATATTCTTCCTGTTTGGCGGCCCTATTGACTGGAAAGCGACACTTCAACGATGTGTTACCAAGTCTACCACTGAAGCTGAGCTGGTTGCTGCATCATCAGCAGGCACTGAGCTTCTCTGGTGGTGGAGGCTCTTCAAGGACATCGAATTCGATCAGGCAATGAGCAAATACTGTTCTGTGACAACCAGCAGACAATTCGTTTAGTCACTACGGCTACGCCACGCCTCAAGACCTCACTGCGACACGTCGATATACATCATCACTGGCTTCGCCAGGAAGCACAAGCACACAACATCAATCTTTCATACATACAGACCAAAAGCCAGCCAGCAGATGGTCTAACTAAACTGTTGCCTCGTCAGAGACACGAAAATTGGGTATCACTTTTGCATTTCAACACATTTCCTAAATTATGAGCTCTACAATGTACAGTACTCTTCCTGGTTTTCCTACACGGTTTTTACAGGTTTAATGAGGCTGTACTCCTTACGCTCTTTACTTTCATGTTTGTCAGGGATACCACCAACCTCCATACAGAGCGAGAGGCAATTAGATCTCATATGCTTTTGAGGACGCTCATCAGCGAGATCAACCAACACCGCGACGGCGGACGATCCCCACCTGGAACTGCTCCAATCAAGCGGCTACCCACCGCACTCAAACAAGCAGCTCTACCTGAACAGGGTAGGGGGTGGCCTATGATCACATCAGCTTCTACATACGTTCGAACCTGAGGGAGGTGTGTAAGCCCAGGGTACCTTGCATGGTCGCGTGGACTATTCAGCGGCCAATCAGCCCACTACTCTATGTATATAAGCTTAGATCACAGACCTCTCGGTGATCAGAAGAAGAATACACACAATCTACTTACAGTTGTGGTTTCCAGCCAGGCCTGCGCCGTGCGTACCTAGCTTTATACATTACGTTTTCAAACGTTGTAATGCTCATCCTAGGTACAATCTCATCAAAGTCACCATGCGCGATAGCCTGCCAGCTCTCTTTCTCGCGGTTGTTGCGCGATGAGGCCAACACTTGGATAATGCGATCCTTCTGCTCCTGCGTCAACAACGTTGACCTGCCGCGCCCCAGATTGTTTTCATAGAAGATTTCATCCCACAAGAAGACACCTTGCTCCTCTGCCTTCATCTCCACGCGCTTCAGCAGCTCTGATATAGTAGCTTTCCCACGACCTATGGTGTCGGCAAGTTCCCGCTGAGAGCTATAGTCACCCCGCATGCCAGTGAGCGCACCTACTGCAAAAGCGCGCTCAATTGCTGTCAACTCAGTGCGGCCAGTGCGTGGAGGCTTCACAACCTTATTCTCCTTGTATTTGAAAGTTTTGCGACGCGAAATAGGCATATTTATAATGTATGGGTGGTATAATACTATGGTGATGCGTGGTTGAACATGGGATGATGGGGCACGCACAGGCCAAAAAGTGTTCGGTCAAAAAAAACGAGCTTCTTCGTAGAATCATTGATATGTTGGCCTGGCCCACTCACCGGGCGCTATATTGCTTCGTTTTCACTTTAGAGATAGCTACACCTCCTCGATGCGCAAGGCCTTACGCTCTCCGAATGACAATCGGCGCCATCCCGCGCTAGTCCTTACAAGCAATGGTGTCGGCTTCGTGCGTACGGTCGGCCAGGCTTGAGCATCAGATAATCCACTACGGTCCATCTCTCGACGTTCGAATAGATCTCAGTCAATTTCTACACCGAGAAGGCGAACGACGACTGAAAAAGTCAAGTTGTCGAACAGCTTCAGGTCCCGCAACCTGACACCAGGGGCCGAACAGCGCTGTCGAGCCCGTAACACTACCGCCATACACAATGTCACTGGCCCTCTGTATCCGCGACTCCATGTTTGTTACGCAAATTAGTAGCCCCCATCCTCAGTGCAGCACATCGTTCTTCCCTCTCAAGCTCAAGCCTGAACCGCGCCCGTTCCGCAGCAAACCGCGCATGTTCGTCAAGACCCTCACTAGTCCTGGGAGAGTTCCCTCTCATCTCTACCCTGATATGCCTGCGATTCGTAAGGCATGATGAGAGCATAAACTTACATCTATCAGCACACGCTTCCAGCGAACGGTTCACCCCAGCACCCTTAGGCGTCCTCCATTCCCAGATTGCAAAGCTGCCCCAAAACGTCCCATCACTAGTAGATATTCGCTGCCAAGGTTTTTCGCGTAGAGAGAAGATAAGGCAGTCGACAAACCCCATACTGCTCATGCAGATTGCGGCTCCTAGGCGCAGGAACCATACCGGATGCTGTACATATTTGAAGTAGTACATCATACAGTGGTTTGTGAACGGAACGAGCCACATCAGCGTATAAACAAGCGGATATATGAAAATGAGTCGCAGTTGGCGGCGAACAAGCAGGCGTCGACGGTCTACCTGGCCAGTGAACTCCATGGAATTGGTGCATGATATGGAGCTCCGCCGAAGGTCGGGATCGTAAGAAAGGCTATTGCTTGAAGTGTGTTGCGACGTGGAGAAAGGGACCCTTTGAGTGTCCGTCATAGACCGGTCCGACCTGGTTACGTAGCCCGACGGCTTTATCGATATCGAATGACGAGTCGTGTCACTCCGCCCCAGGGACGTAGTCATCTGATCTTCTGGGATTAATTGCGAGTGTGTGATCGGAACTCGCGGTGGACAGTTCGAACTAGGCGTCGCATCCAGTAACAATACTGATGATGGATGGCACTGGCATGATCCAGTACCATGATCAGTAATTAGCGCTGTACATCCGTGCTCCAGTCCCGACTCTACAAGACCGGATGTACTGGCTGCTCTGGCGTGCCTCCTGCCCAGTCACGCGCTCGGTACACCTGTGCCCTAGAAAGCCTGGACGCTACGAGTTATGTCGCGATATCTGCGGAATTCTAAGCCAACAAAAGCATAGATCGCAATTGCCAGTCCAATTATAGCGAGCGTTATCATGTATCGCGGAATCCAAGACAGGGCAAGTCTATACCAAAAGGGTCGAATGGGAAGTGTGCAGAATGCGCCAAGAGATAGATAACCCCAGTCTGAATTAGCGAAAGCGAGTCCAGCCATCAGGCTAGGAATGAGAAGCACTCCAATGTAGACGTAGAGCCGGAATGGATAGATGCCGCCCGAGGTAGTTTGGGCAGAAGGACGAAAGGCTTGAAAAGCACTGTGGACGGCTATGATGAGGACAGCATAGTCTGGAGTGTCAGTAGGGAGCAAAATGTCTAGATGATGCTACTCACCACTTGTATTCTCCCCATACTGCATAAGGAAGCCGCTTGACTGGCAGAAAGAAGACTCGGTTCTGACTGTCCCTTAAGCTATTGAAGTCGCTGAAAAGACGAATTGCCATGTTGCTCGTGTAAGGTCGCCATATATCAGCAGCATTACCAGCCTGCATTGCTTCGTTAGCAGCTGGAAAAAAGGCAGGCTGGGAAGCTGACCGATGGCGAATTTTTTTTTGCTTACGACAGAACCAAAAGAAGGTAGTAAGAGAAGCTGTCATGCTGACACTAGAACACACTAAAGCCGCTATCCGAATCCTGAATGTTCGGTGCAGGTCGCCAGGTTGAATGGATGTGTATTCTGAATCGTTGGACGAATTCACAGCCGAGGGTGAGACGTAAGGAAGCAAAAAAAGAAGCGTGATGAGAAAAAGTTTCGCCATTAGTGAATAAATGCTGATCATTGTCTTGCGATTCACTCATCGACTTGCTGAATATAGTCGTTACGCAAATACTTTTCCAGCGGAAGATTTCGTTCGAAGATTTTGGATAAGGTGCATGAAGGTAGAGAAAAACCACAGCCGCAGACTTTTAAAAGGCCCCTTCTAAGACCTCCGGGGCGGAAACTTGATTGCATTCATATGAGAACAAGCTCGCAAGCAGGTGAGACACATATGGTTCCCACTGAGACGTTAGAACCAGCATATCGTCTAGGTGACTACCCCATTACTGCAATAATTAAATTGTAGGCCCCGACACGTTCTCCACCTCATCGGCCTTGAGAAGCCGATAGTTCGGTGGAAAACTCCGTGTTTCAACGAACAGTATAAACTCCGGTTGAAATGGCGTGATAGCCTTTCTTTCCCACTTCGAACGTAAGCCCGCTCCTCCACTCCTCTCCCTTGGCAATCTGTTCCACGGCGTACTGAATAGTATACAGTGGCTCCCACCCAAGCTCTCGCACTGCCCTTCCGGAATCATACACACGATCCAAACGCGGCAGGAACTTCCACCCTTGCTGGTCAAACGCCTCCTCGATCCCTGGAACACACTCGCGATATACCTTCCCCGCCTCCGAGTCCAGCCTCCGCAACGTTTCGGCATCATTCGGAAACGGCGGCGGTGCGCTGATGATATACTTGCCCCAGCCAATCTCTCTGGCCCGCCTCATAGCAAGGACGGAGGCCGACACAACGTCAGCGATGTCGGTGCGCCGGTAAGCAAGCTCGAGGCACTTTAAATTTTCGTCTCCCAGCGCGGCGCGGCGGTCCTCATCGTCGTCGGCCTCGGGGAAGAAGCGGCTGGTCCGCAGCACCAGGATTGGCAGGCCGGTCTGCAGGTGCGTAAGGCGGCACAAATCCTCAGCGGCGGCCTTGGTGACGCCGTAGATGTTCTTGGGCGCCGGCGTGACACGCTCGTCAATCCAAGCTGCCGGTTTGCCAGGCTTCGGGCTCAGGGCCTGGCCAAAGGCAGATGTAGTCGACACGAAGATGAAGGCATCAATGCGGCCAGGATCCAAGCCCGCGGCCGTCTCAAGCAGAACTAGCGTGCCGGTGATATTGACAGCCACGAAGTCGAACTGGGAGTGCGACTCGACGTGAGGCTTGTGCAGCGTCGCCGCGTGCAGCACGTACCGGATCTTAGGATGGGTCGCGAACAGTGATTCTACAAAGGTGCGGTCTGTGATGGAGCCTATGTGGGTTGTCGTCGCGGAGTCGAGGGTATCGATGCCGATCGGAGTGTACCCATATGAGGGAAGAGAAAGCATGAGCGCGCAGCCAAGATGGCCGGCTGCGCCAGTGACGAGAACATTGGTATCCCCCATTTTTACCCTTGTGTGTTTGTGAGATTGATCTTGATCATGGGAGGACGAAGACTGATAAAGGATCTCTAGCAACGTGACGAGATTCTACAAAGGAAAGTGAGTCATACTTAGTTGGGTTGGTTTGACTATATACTTATTCATTGATTGGTTCCTACTCGGTTTCAGCCGCGTTCTGCGCAGCTATGCCCGGTATGGCAGGCATGGCAGACAGCCGACGCTGTGCGGACACTGATTCGCGCCGCCCCACTTCATTCGTGCGAACAAGAACCATCTGTCCCCAGAGGCCTGCCGAAAACACGACAGACAGCGAGAACTCAATTTTCGGAATTACCATCACAAAAGCATCAAAGCACATCTGCCAGAGGCTGCAACGGTCTCTACAGGCATCACGCGTCCCCCCGCGTAGGTCTGGTACCTGTAGAGCCGCCGTTGCAGCCCTGGCAGGGACGGATCAACAAACTCTGCGAGCAAGCTACTTAGAATGACACGTCCACCAAATGCAGCGGCAGCCATCTAGCCGCGACACGGCAACGCGAGACGCGACGACGGAGCCCAGACACCCCCCGAGCATCATGGTCGCAATACACACACAACAGTCACCGATGGGCTTCCTGGTCAGCCCATCACCAACCGACAATGTCTGCGACGTCCCGCATCGACGAGCTCCCGAGCTGAACAGCATCACCTCTCACGCGAATCTCTTCACAGACACCCCGGCATGCTACCATCGGTGCCAAAACATACTTACTGATCACCAGACAGCCTCGTCCACTGTCGCCCCACGTGTTGAGGGAGTGGTGCCCCTTTGACACAACCCGACAAGGTCTGAAGATGTTCGCGCAAGAGCTCTCATGCTCAGTAGACTCGACGACTCGCACGAGCGGAGCATCGCTTCTGTGGAGCTGCGTCGCGACGAAATGCTGCTGCCGCTGCGCCCGATGGCAGGTTACACCACAACACACAGCCGCATAGGAACCTAGTGGACGGCATCACAACACTTGAAGAACATCGGAGATTGGGGAACACATTCCAGGCCCTGGGGGTATCGGGGCAAGCTAGCACACACGACAGCTGAACGCTAGGGGGAGACTGAAGGTATTGCGGTCGCAAAGCATGAGGCAACCGTGCCTCTACGAGCCTTGAAACAACGCTACACACATGAGGCTTCGAATACGGCATTTACACAGGAAGAAAGGTCGAGGAACACAAACACAGGCAAACACGTCACTTCTAGAGACGAGATGTACATAGTCGTAGATAGAAGCCAGATACGGCAGGCCTCTGGTTTGGTTTGGTTTGGTTTCATTCCTACTAGGTTTCAGCCGCGTACTGCTGGTTGGCAGGTTGGTTGGTGGATTCCTACACGGTTTCAGCCGCGAAGTCCGCAGCTATGCCCGGTTGACAGGCGTGGCAGACAGCGGACGCGGTGCGGACGTTGATCCGCGCCGCCCCACTTCATCCCTCGAAGAGGACCAGCTGTCTCCGAAAACCTGCCGTTTACCCTCAACCACTATCTACATATGCTTTGCCCGGCCATCTAGATAACGGTTCCACTGACTGTATACTGTGGTTCTAGGCTCTTAGAGGCGTTTTGCCTCGTCTGTCGCGTCCGCTGTACCTACAGTCTCCCCCCAGCGCTCGGCATCGTCTACGTATCTCTGATCCCCACTTGCCCAAGGATCTGCGTCTGTTCCATATACTCGATGGCTTTGGTGGCTAGCTGTGGCGTGCTCAGGATGGTCCTGAGGCTGTGTCGTCCGGATAAGTTGGCGAAGATGCGGTTTCGGAGGTCCCTGTACTTGCTGCAGCGGAGGAGGACGTGAGCGACGGTCTGTCGTCTCTCTCCACAGCTGCAGCGGAGGGTAGTGACGGTCGGGACGTGTCGTTTGAAGAGAAAGTCGTTGAGGCCGATTATCTCAGTCCGCAGCTGCACCAGCAGCGCGCTCTCTCTCTTTTGCTGAGCCTTTCGTGGAGCTGCAGCACTTTCTTGGTGGGCGTCGGCGTGTGCCTGTATGTCGTGCGTCCTTTCTTGTCTTCGTCGTCAGATTCACCCTCTATGACCACCAATGTCTCTTGGGTTGCTATCCTGGACGAAGCCAGTGTTTCAGTTCCACTCCACGGCGGTTGGTGCTTCCTTCCGAAAGATGCCTGTTGCAGCCAAGTACTTCTGCACAGAGGTCTGTGATCCTGGTAGTTTTTGCTAGCCATTTGCGCTTCGATAACAATCTGCACATCCTGAGAAGGCAGAGTATCTGGCCCAAGATCAATCTCCCCCCGCGCTACCGGAGCCTAGGGGTTTTGGCGAACCCGCGTGGTTCGTATGCATCTGCAACGATGCAACTCATTGTCGGATAAATGAACCAAGCACCTGCTATCAGGTCTAGTGGTGTATTCGGTATTGAAAACCCTGTCAATATTCTCAATATTTCCTCAATATTGAAGATATTGAGAATATTGACAGGGGTTTTCAAAACCGAATACACCACTGGTCAGCAGGACTGCCAACAGATTCTCCAACGGCATCGTGCTACGGACTAGGATTCCTGGAGACGTATGCAAAACTGCAGGATATTAAATCCCCTGTATGGTATGACTTGCGAAATGATAGTTCGAATAGCAAATGTCTACCCAAACCACACCCATGTAGCCTAAGCGAGAGAGTGGACAACATCATTGCAGAAGTCATCGGTTTGGCGGATGGGTTTGACTTGAGGGATTTTGAGCGTGCTTCATCTAGTAATCATACAGCTCTTGATACAACTATTTCATTTCGGCGCGTGCCTTACACATGCCTCTAATCGTAGGCACACGCTGACAGCGGCTTCGAAGCGTTGTTCGTGGAGTACCGTATGGCGAGGCAGCTTGACGTTGGCTTGTGACGCATTTCGTTCAAAGCGCACGAGATGCTAGAAGGACTCTGTCTTCGCGATGGGGCTGCGGAGGACGTCGTTTTCGTGGCATTGTCGTTGTTGTGTCGAGCGTCGCTTTGACTTTGGTGGGGTGAGCCGAGGACTGGTGAAACACGTTACTTTTGAGCTTAGACATATACTCGTACATACGCAGAACGATACGCTCATACAAGAGACCCAATACTAATATCACACCTTGCTTACAGAGCCCCACACTCGTTCGGTCACGACATGCGAGTTTGCCAGCTTCTGAATGCTTAGAGGTAGTTCAGCCAGTATATCACTCACGTCTAACTATTCCCGCAGGCGTGCGACAAACTCACGCAAGCTATTTAGACGACTAAAGACTCTCTCGGACAAAGAGCATGGAAAGACGTTACTGTCGAGGGCAAATCATGGTCTGACCATACGAAAATCCTGCAGTTGTACATAAAGACTCTTCAAATACAGGCCGCTATGACAAAAATCGAGACGCCCTTGCTGCAATACAAGGAACAGGTGCCACTACATAACGCATTGCCCCCACCGTACAACCACAGTCCGCAACAAGCAAGCGATAGACAGATCGATTACCGCATTAGGCGTAAAAAGACCACTGTCTGGCTCGTGCCATGCCCAATACGGTAATCAATCTGTCTATCGCTTGCTTGTTGCGGACTGTGCGTACAACGAATGACAAGAACCACTATTTCGACCCAATACCATATCTTCCATCGGCACGTCATACGGGCATTGCATCTTGCCGCGCCAGCGCTTTTGACGAAGATATTACTTGCAACTCGGCAGGATTTGTAGATGCGGAGGAATGCTGCGGAACGGTTATATGAAGCTCTAGATATAGCTAGACTTTGCTTTACTCTACGATTGACTCGCAAGATTATACAGCAGTTTTTGCAGTGATGACACGAGACGCAAGCAAGACATTTAGAGCTCTGTCAGGAACATCTTGTTGTCGAGCCTGCTGTTTGAGCACCTTATCAAGAACCGGTTCGCTATCACCAAAATTCCAAACTACGAAACAGGAAGCCTGTGTGTCTATCAACCGAGTAACTTACTTGGTTGACATCAGGGCTCTAATCAACTGTAGACCCTCTGGACTGACCGGTTCAACCGGTTGCTTCGACGTAAGCAGCTCGTCTTGAGGTGATTAGCCAGCAGAGTTGTCAACAATCAAGTCAATCAAATATGAAGCTCGTATTTGGCTTGTTTGGAGTTTTCTTGGTGTTGTACTTGACTTGATTGACTTGGTGGCCGAAACGGGCATATTTAATTCGTTATTTGACAAATACTTGCAGTTTCAATTACCCGATTGGGCAGGTATAGTCAGACTCCGCAACAATCAATTAAGTGGGTCCTAAAAGGTTCAGATTGACTTGATTGATTACCTCTTGAGGCCTAGTCATTTCCTATACAAGTTTAACTCCTACCTAGATAGGTAAGTGGGTCTCTGACAGAGTCCAGATTGAATTGATTGTTGCGGACTGTGGGTATAGTGAGATCTTAGACGGGTAATTGTATTAGAGTTGGAGCAGAAAAGAGGCATATAATAGCGTCCGTAGGCGTGTTTCGAAATTGCAGCCGTCCTAATATACCCATATATCGAGTTGTATACCAATCGTGGTCCCAAAAAAAAACTCTAGTCGCCATCTAGTATACTATAGAGGTTGCGTAACGCGGTTTCGTATTAGTAAAGGATCACCCAGAGGTGCTGGGTGTACAGGAGCGGCGAAACTCTCATATACAACTCACCGTCTAGCAGGAGCGAGCAACTACACCAAGCTGGTGTTTCGTGATAGGGATAAGTAGCTTAATTAAGTATATATACAGCCGTAATCGCGTGATCAGGTTATGGTGCCCTTCGTGAGGAGTCCACGCTGTTTTGACGGGCACGTGTTAGCGTTAATATGCGTAAGAGCGCGTCGTTTTACACTAGGACGCGCGATAACAGCGATACTAATACATAAAAGAGATAGGTTGCGAGTTATCAACGTGTTGTTGTAGTTGAAGAGATCGGACGGCAAGCGAACTGACCGAGAAACGAGGTTCTGATTGATTACTAACTGCACTACAACACCAAAAAACTATCACGAGATCGCTGGCCCAGCTAACTCAACGGCCTCACGCAAAACTCCAAATAAACTGCAATCAAGTCAATCAATACGGCTATAAAACTTGACTTGTTCGCAGTTACAAGAACGCCGTATTTGACTTGATTGATTTGAGTCTTGGCGCCGACGACGATCTATATTTGCAAATATATTTGATTGTTGCCAACTCTGTTAGCCAGTGTCGCGCAACGGTGCTGAAGTTTCTAACTAGTTTAGTCTAGCCCACTGTAGTGCTCTAGCGCTCTGGTGTCAAGCAAGTAACTTACTTGGTTGATGGACAAACTGGAAACGGGAAGAAGAAGTATCATGAGATCGGAGAGGAGCATCGCCGTCTTCTAGGTAGTGCTCCTCGCTTTTCACAAAGTTCCGCTCAGCAGCGTCCGAACGCAGACTCTGCAAGAGCAGTCGCCTCAGATCGGATTGGTTCAAAAGAAGTTCGTCCCATTCCTCCACGGTTCCTTTAACGCGATCTTGTCTCCCGAAATTTGTAGCAGTCAAACCCACATACAGCTCTCGAAGCTTCGAGGCTTTGGCGCTGTTGTCGCACGCGAACTGCACATCGTGCGTCGAGATGGACCTGTTGAAGATCTTGGTTGTATGTTGTTCATAGAGACGCCTCATAGCATGGTTCTTGAAGTCGGTGCATAATAGCTTATCGCCAAGGACCCAGCATTCGGCGTCGATACTAACGCTACCGGTTCTAGTGGGAGAGGATGACGACAGTGGTTCGATGGTGTAATCTCCGTAGTACAGCCATTCAACGAAAAGCGCAAAGACAGTGGGTTTGTCGTCCGGGAGCTCGATTAGGTTATTGCGACGTTCCTTGAAGTCCCGATTAGAAGCAGCCGCAAGGAAAGGTGAGTGGTGCGAGATCAAGCGCTTGGGTAAGAACCAGTTGACGGAAAGGTCGGCAGAACCGTGTACAGGAGTTGCTGTGCCGACGTGGATTTCAATCGTGGGGCCGGTAAGACTGCGCATATCAATCTTGAGACCTGTAGATAGGGCTGTTGGGGTACATACAGGGCAAGATGGCTGCTATGCTTCTTGTCATCGGTTCGTCGCAATCTTTGTAAGGGTTGAGTGGAGAGCATTGCTAAACCATCTCTCTGCCTGGCAGATGGCGCATGTCCCCGTTCGTAATCTGCCAACCTGAGTTCTTCAAGGCTGAATTTAGCACACTCTTCCTGGGCAGAGATAGCTTGATATTGGTCCATTCCGGAATCATGGGATGAAAGCTCTGTGTAGGGGGCTAGTTGCACTGCGGCCGTGCCGTTGTTTACCAGTGATGAACCTTCCAGCAGTGATTAGCTGAGAGTCCTCTGATTACCCAGTCGGCACAATGGATAAGACCAGTGAGGCTCAAGCGGGCGCATACCAGGCGGATCCGAGAAACTATGCGGACGCGTCAGCGATTGCTCATGGAGGATGCATCATAAAAGTCGCATGCACCTCATTCTGTACACAGATGTGCCCTGCGTTCAGAGTTTTGCGCAGTTGACCGCTGGTAACGCTGTTGCAAATACAGTGTTATATGACACTGCGAGCCGTTTGACCCAAGGATAAAATCGACGAGGTAACAAAGCACGGTGAGTGAAGATGTAGACATGCAGAGAGGTTCGCGTCAGTGACATGCTACTTGGCGATCCGTGCGTCGATGAGCGGTGGCGTGCTTTTCGGGTCTACCCCAGCCAGTCCAGGTCCTGCTCGGTGCTATTTGCCAACAGTATCTCCGTCCAACCCGACTATGATCAAAGGTTTCTCTGCACCCTCGCCTGTAAAACCGCGGCATGGTTGCCGTTCACCCCCTTAATTATTCCTGCCGAAGGCGCATTCTTGCCTGGCTATGATGGCTCATTGGTCTCGCGACTGACAAAGCGATCGTTGGTGTCATTACCTCCTACGTGGAGCTTGGGGAAGCCTGGCTGTTTGGGCGATGCGGTTGGCCCCAGCTTGCCCTCAAACCTCCCGCTGGCTTACCGCAACCTCATCCACTTTCGTCTCGGCCTCGCTGTCGCACTTTGCCTGCGGCCCTCACCTTCTCGTCTCCGCCCTCATCATCACCTTGCGTCCGCGCTCCGCCTGCAACGCCCTGCGCTCGCTCGTCCCGCCCCGCGCTTGTCCACCCCGCACTCGTCCCACCCCGCGCTCGTCTCCGATATCAGAGCTCCGTCAGACTCCTCTCGTCATCTCGTCATCTCGTCGCCCGTCACCCGTCAAGCCCTTGCCGCCCTAATTGTTTTCAACATGCAATCGCAATCTGGCATGTCTAAGCGGTAAACAAAGAAGGACGCCTTCAAAGACCGCCAGCGGCAGGCGAAGGGACGGTTGGTAGAGGCGCACAGACTGGTTCGGCATCGTCTCCCCTTCCGGGTCCCTGCTGAGCCACGCATCTACCTTGCAGTGTCGAACTTTGGCCCGAAGCAAGCGCTGTGTCTTTAAAAAAAGCAGCCTGACAGAATGTCAAAGACGGGCCGCTGACCACAATTGCTCACAACGGCACTATCACCCATGGTGGCATGCCGGACCCGAATTATGCGGCCGACTTCAACATCCCACGATATGCCGCGATTCCCCTTCTCAATTGCGTACCTGGAAACGACTCTCAGAGACGTATGTTCTACAGCCTGCACGTATATTAACAACCAACCAAAGGCCAAGATCCCTTTCACAACAATAGCGGCCCAGGGCGAAACCTTCCTCTAGACCTGGACTCGCTTGTGGTGCAAGTACTCGTGCATCTTATGTGCATCTTGTTCAGCTTCGCTGGCGGATGCTTTGCATTGCGACTTGCTACGGACACTAAGAACAAGCTCGTTTGCATACGACCGCGCCATTATCGCGCAACAGTTGAGTCACCTGCTCATAGCCTCCAGAACAAGTCGTATGCGGCTGCATAAATATTCTAGTAGAGTGACTGTGCAGCCCTATAGGTGTATACCATCTGTGGACCTGTGCCTATCCGGACCTCTTTCTCCACTATCTTCCATCACAATTCTGCCGTGCGAGGGCTGCGCAGATATCTCGCAAGTACTCATCCTCTTGATACTTCGGTCGAGGCGTCTTAAATATCTTCTCTCTCCTTTCTCCTTTCTCCTTTCTCCAGCCACGCAAAGCGTCTCTTCTCTTGTTCGAGGGCTTTCTGACTGGTGAATGTACAACCGCACATACAGGCAAACCTAGCTAGCAAAGGCCCGACCTGCGTCAACACGGGCTCCAATTTCAGGGAAGCGAAAGAAGAGACTAAGGAGCTGCCTTGTTGGTTTTGAGTAAGGGACTCGTCGGCTTGTCGGCTGTGGTATAAACATAGACTCCGCAACAAGCAATCCAATCAATCTCAGAGTCGTCGATTGACTTGATTGTCAGCAGCCTAGCTGCTGATTGATTGTGGATTGATTGAAGCTATTTTGAAGTAGCTCAGATTGACTTGATTGACTTGATTGGTTAGTTTATACATAGGGGTTATCGAATCTCCGAGGCAGATGCCGAATTCATGATAAGCTGTTTCATCGGCTTATATGCACGTGACTTTCTTATCATCACGTGATGTCACAGTCAATGGAGGCGGACTACTCGATCTTAATCTACATTCCTGGAATAACGATGTGACCAATCTAACCAATCTAATCAATCAATCTGAAGGTCTAAGATTGATTTGCTTGCGGATTGGAGCAAATTCAAGAAGCGACGGATTGGATTGATTAGATTGGTTAAACCAATCAAGTCAATCAATCCGTTCAATCCAGATTGCTTGTTGCCGACTGTGCACGCGTCGCGTGCAGACGAAGGACTCAATCGGCGCGCTATGCACCCACGCGCAGTAAATGACATGGATGGAATGGAGTTCCATCCGCCAAGATCCATTTGCTCCATGGATATCCATGGAGCTGGATGGAGCTGGATGGAGCTGGATGGAGCACTTGGAGAAAGTATCCATGTCATTCACTGGTACTTAGCTTTTGTCTGCTCTACGAGCTTAAACTAGCTCTTGATTGATACAGGATCCTCGCACAGAGCTCTCTGTCTATCGTAAGCTCGATTAAAACGCGTCGTAAGACTGTCTGTACGCTTAACAAAGTTAGCTGGCCACTTCTGCCCAACTTGGCCTGCGCCGCGTGCAGCTAGTAGCTTATCAGCCATATCGCGTACAGCTCCATCCTACTACTGCATGCCAGCAAACCCAACACTCACGTCGTCGGCGATGATTTCAAACTTTTGGAACTCCATATACCGCTCGAACCCCGTCGTACTCCCAGCGCGCAGAACATCGAACTCCTTTTTGGTGGTCCGAGTTCGAATCTTATACGGCCAAGGCTGAACAATGGTGTGCTTCTTCTTGATAGCCATCCCGTACAGCGTAGCGAACTGGGTAATTCTGCCCTCGTTCATGAACATATCGAAGTACTTATCCCACGGTTTGAACATATCGTAGCAGGCAGTACGCAAGACTACTTCAGGATGTGCACCCGTGTTCATTCTACCTCGAGTAAGACTCACTCGTGATTTGTCGATCGGGATGTACTTTTCGAGGCGGTTCATCGCTGATACCATCGACTGTACGTCTCCTTGTGGGTTTGCTGTGTGATCAGTTTCTATGGCAGCATTGATGAAGAGCATAAGCAGCGTGGCTTCTGGGTTCTGTGAAGCCGACTTGAGGAGTTGCGAGAAGACCTGGAGACAAGTGTGCGGGCCAACAAAGCCTCGATCGCATATGTTGGAAATCTATGCAGATGTCAATGGTGATATACGGCGAGGACCGATAAGCGTGTGTCTCACCTCGATACGGTCGAACTTCATGTCATCGAGATAGTGTCCTAAATCTCGGGCATCCATGTTAAACAGCCGAAACGAGATGTTAGAGCTCCGTAGCCGGCTGCAGAACTCAAGAAATAGTCCTCGGATGTGGAAGAAGATAGCACCGAACTCATCTGCTTTCGCAGCTGGAGCATCCTGCATATACTCATCAAAAAGCCAACCATCGCGAGGACTAGCGTTGTCTTTCATCGGCCAGTCACCTGAAGGAAATAGCGTGCTTGGTTGATGTCAGTTCCTGATAGTTTCATACTGTCAGAGAATCCTTACGGGTTAGGTGTGTCAAAGTCTGTGGTGGAACAACCATAAGGCAGCAAGACACCTGTGTGGCGAAAGTACATTTCGCCTTGGCGGACACCAGCAGGCATGTTCAGCAGAGCTCGATCACGATAGTCAACCCTCTCGGGAGCCAGCATGATACGGTGACGAATCTGTTGGGCAGCGTCTGCTGTCAATCCTTCCGGAACCTGACAAAACCTCGCCAAGCGAGCCCATTCTTCCTTCTTCAGCGTAATGCGTAGCTTTCGGCCACCTATCTCAAATGTCTTTGCCTAGAGTGCACCACCGGGCTTGGTCTTGATCTTTTGGCAAACATGTTCGACCATAGGAAGGATACTGGTCTGGATCGCCTGCATCATATAGGAAGGAAGTAGCGCTGAATACCACAAATGGATGATCATCGGTACTGCAACGTCTGGTTCAAATTGAAGCGCAATGAGAAGCATGATGGCGTTGCGAGCCACGATGATGAAATCCATGTCGTTCAAAACAGCAACGCACTTACCCTTGTATCCTTTTGGCAGCCCAGCGATAGTTTTGAGGGCATTTCGAAGATCGCCCGACGCGGCAAAGAGAAGGTTGAAGTCTTGACTCGTTTCACAGCTCTTGCTTTCATTGTGTTGAAGCTGCAGAATGTCGAGAGCAGGCATGTTGCCCCAGAGATACTTCTTGTTGCCGAACATGGCGAGTGGGGAGCCCTCGCCGACAAAAGCAGGCTGACGGCCGCTGCGATACCACTCGGGCTCCCAGGTGCCTTTTATGAAGGGGGATTTACAACCTTTCTTGTGATGAGACCAATCTGCAGTCTGACATATCTTTGAGCAGTACTGTTCTCGCGTCAGTAGGTCAAACAGGGTCACAAAAACGTGTTATTTGATCACGAAAAATGTGCTAGAAAGAGGACAGACATACTTGAACCATGTTGCAGCCACTACATACAAGCGCAGCATTTGCCTGACACAGCTTCTGCTTGGTATTGGAACAAAGTAGCGGATTGCCTAAGGTCGACAGGCCGGAAATCTCGGCGGTCATCTTGTTCATCAAGTGGGAGAGAATTTGTGACGCGATCGGGATGACTTGCTGCGTGGTGCGATTTGGCAATACAGATACTACGATCCGTTGAATAGGCACAGCGGAAGTGAGCGCAGTACAATGTATGAGGAAGACTGTAGGAACCAAAACACGATGTGAGAGGGAGTGGCTAGAGTATGAAGGTAATCGTGCATCTAGAGTAACCGAATTAGAGACAGCCCGGTGCGCTTGCAGAGAATCCATGGTTTGACCACCAACACAAGGAACTGCCCAATCATCTGATGACACGATTATGCACCTCTAGATGTACATCGCCGATCTATATAATGCCGCAATAGCCGCATCTCTCCAGACACTGCACAATTTTGTATATAATTGTGTTTTAATACAGGTTTCAAGTAATTATGTAGTAGCAAGGGTATAGAGATCGTATATACTGACCCTGGTTCTACAGGTCCAGATCCGACATACCTTAGCATCGGCGGGGGAGATGACCAACTCTGGCACGTTATTGTTGGCATCGATAATCAAATTGCGGGAAGGAGATTGCGTAGTGGTAGAAGGATATAATAGTAGAGTGAAGAGTGGATACTGCTTTTCCTGTTGGCTTTCACGTTGCAGTTTGCTTTTTATGTTTACGATGCTAGAGCGTATGTTGGAGGCTTACGATAAAAGCCAGTGGTCAGTCATCCAGTCTACGTCGAATCACTTGTACTACCTCCCTTTCTGGGCATCTCTGGCATTTACCTTGCTACACGTGCTCCACGGTCATGGCTCATACATGCGCAGGATAAAACCGTACAAGCGCATTGAACTCTTTCTCTTTCCTATCACACACAGCATGTCTACCAGCATACCGCGGTACCCGAAAGTCGATGTGCTTTACTGGACTGCATCGAAAAGTTACGTCATTTGCCCATATTGTGACACTGCCATGGCGTCAAACTTCCCGGCAAACGTCTTTCGCACTGTCATCCGGGTGGCCGTTACGGGTTCATCCTACCCATCAATGAGAGCAGAAAACTGGTCGGCTATGAGATTGGTTAGAGAGGCATTCGTCTTGTAGATGCTAGCTTGCAGAAGGCTCGAAAGAAAGATGATCCACTTTTTCCCAGACATGATGAGAGAGGTTTGAATGATCTTTTCCGGTCCAAAGTGAACATTCCAGACACAATTTCAAAGTCAGAGCTGAACCAGAGTCTGTACGAAGATTCCACAGAACTCGAAACTATCACTATCTCAGACGACGGTGATCCAATGCGGAGCCTTGTGGATCCTGGAAGTTCTAAGTTTCCAGAATAGGCTAGCGTCAAAGCTGTGTCTGCTATGGGAAAACCTTGCAGACGTTACCAGGGAGCCAGTGTAGATCCAACTTTCCGATCGCACCACTCTGGATAACCTGGACGTCCCATGCCTCTATGTCGAGCATAAAACGTTGAGTCTTCCTAGACCACCACCTCTATCTTGGTACCGTGGTCGGCTTTACGAGGAGCTTTGAGGAAGCTGTGCCGCTCGCAATGCGTGGCAAATGCACAGAGAAATATTCCGTTCCACCTCCACTCGTCGAACTTTGCACGTTGCTATACATTACGGCAACTGGCGCCAATTTCCTCACTACGCCATGCTCTGGTTCTTGTGTATGTGTTGCCTAAATACGCACTCCACTGAACGTTCCATGGGGCGACGACCTGGGTCTGTTGTGCTTCTTGTCTTGATTTGGTGTGCGAGGTTGTGAAATTTAACAGGAATTACAACTCGACGAAGTGGCTTTCTGCGACCATATCAATTCGTTACTTTTCAACGCGTTAGATCTCTTCTCCCATAAGCTGATGCCTATCGAAAGTGTTAGAATAGGCTGCAGCTGTCGATCGCACTGGATGAGAGGCCCTATGGGGTAAGTGCAAACTCAGAGATGGCCGCTGTGCATCAAGGATACTAGTGTAATGCCGGTGGGTCTCTCAGTCACGTATCTGCCCCAAGCAAAGCGTAGTATATTCTACGATACGAAACTCCCAGACCAGATGGGTCCGTTTGATAAAGCTAGCGCTTCAGTCCACCCATAGCTTCTCTGAACGTCTCTAGACCTTTCTCCAACATATTCTTCCTAGAATCCAGATGAAGGCGCTGCTGCGTGATCTCAGGAGGCTCCGCAGCGACGAACTCGATCTCTTTCTCTGTCATCTGCGTCACGACCAGAGGTGAAAGAATGATTTCAGGGAGAGGCTCGACCAAGTGACGCTCAATGACAGCCTTAGTGACGGCGTTGACGAAGTATTTCATCTCATCTTTGTAGAACGCACGCTCAGTATCAAGAGCTTCTGAGCTTGAGAAGACGTCCATATCCAGCTCGATCGCTTTGTTCATGGCCTCTGTGAGCTTACCAGGGTCAACATGAATATGTAAGTCGTTGTTGCGATCATACGTCCTGACTTCTGACACTTCTGAAGCCTTCTTCGTGATCTTCTGGTGCTTGCGTTGACGCATCTTCTGTACGGTGGTAGTGAAGTAGTGGTTGTAAGTGGTGGGATGGCGAGCTTTGTCCTTTAGGATCTTGTGCAGTTCTTCTTTCGCGCCAGCAAGGGCCTGGGTTAAAGCACCATCTACGTAGAAAGTTCTAAGCCTGTCTTTGAACTCAGATGGAGCGGTATCTTGGAGAACTGTATCGATGAACTCCTTGCATGCACTCGCAATTGTGCTAACATGCTGGGAAGCGATCTGCTCCCATGGCTGGGACTGCTCCCAGAAAAGCTGTGATATCAGCATTGGCTGAAACGTGCCTGGAAGCTCGTAGCCACGGGAGCGCTCCAAAGTCTTCTTGACCCACTCGATGGCTTCTCGTCGTGTAAGCTTCGTGGGCCTGGGAAGGAACATGAGCCCCGGGTGTTCGTCTAGATTGTCAAGCTCTTCCTGCGCTTTTACATCCTCTTCAATTTCTCGTTCTTCGTCACCAGGTCCGGCTCCGAATACGTACTTATGACCCCTCAAGCGCATATCGTTGGCGAAGTTGATGTTGAGGTGTTGGATCACGGCTCGAAAGCGGCGAATGTTCTCGGATGCATCAACAGCTGCGTCCATGTTGATTGAACCGAAAAACGGCGACTCGTAATAGCCTTGAGTAGCAGATTTCAGGATGTCGCTGATGCGCATGCTGATCTTCATCAGAACCATGCGCTGCTCATGAGTGGTGTTGCGCCTGTCGCCTAGCTTCTCAATCTCTGTAATAGTACCCTGAAGCTTGCTGACCATTTCGTCCTTCAGAGAAGGAAGCTCCTTGATCAAATGGTTGAGTAGCACCTTACTGAGACGCTCGCGCAAGGAGTCGATGCCAACGCACTCACGGGGCAGATTCGCGTAACGACCTTTGCTAAAGAACAAGTCCTCGTCTGCGTTGCGTTGCTCAAAGGAGAACTTCATCTGATTATCATCACGATTCTTAAGCATGTGCCATCCGCGCTCCAAGTAAATGTCCTTGTTCTGAGCCAACTCAATCCAGGTCAGCTCGTTGTCGGTCCCCTCACGGAGGAAGTCGGGCTTGGTGATGATACCAAGGGTACGACGACCTTGCTCGTCGATCTTGCGGCAATGGTCGAGAATGATTTGGTTAGCGTAATCGTTCTTTGCGCTAACCACTGCTAAGATGATGGTGCGCGGATTCTTCATGTATTCCTTGACCAGATTGAGGATCAGCTCTTTGTCGGTCTCTGTCTGTGCTTTGTTGGTCGCATGGATGAGACCTGGAAGATCGACAAGGGTTCTAATCATCGTTTAGTACACGTTTAGCATATTGCAGGAAGGACATACAGCTGAGGCCTGGCTGGACCAGTGATCTCGACCGACAGCACATCACGAGAGAATGCCCTTGAATTGATCCCACCTACGACCCCCAGGCCCATGGCTTGTGTCGCCTCTTCAATCACATCTGGGAGCTGACTGAAGTCGTTCATGGACTTTCTGAACGACTTGAGCTTGGCTTGCTCTGACTTTGGGCGAAGCTTGTCTGGAGTGATCGTGATTGTGCTGGTGGACGATGCAGAACGACGGAGGATGATCTAGATTTCGTTAGCATGATACCTGGTGAACTTGAGATGTTACTCACTTCAGTCGCAAATCTCGTGCATAGATTTTCCTTACGAGGAAACGGAATCTCGGTGATAGCCTCAAGCACAGAGCTTTTACCGGATGACTGGTCGCCGCAGACTACAAGCTGGGGTAGTTCCACAATGCCACTGAGACCTGTACGTCGCAGCTTGTCTACGATATCCATAACCTTGCGCTGATCTGCAGACTGTAAAGCGTGCAGTGAGCTTGTAGTGACAGAGTCAGGGTCGATAGACACCGTCGGTGTGGTTGACATCTCGACGCCTTCAAAATCGGAGTCGCTAGGCGTGTCACTTGCCATACTTGTGAACAGAATCTTTGTGTAGGCGAAGCAGATAGCACAGTTGAGTTGAAGTGGTACGGAAGAGATAGTTGGATGAGCAACAGGGTGACTTAGATATGGATCCAAAGAGGCTGCCGCAGTGAATGCGAAGGAAATGGATAGCAAGCCGTTGGTCGCGGGATTAAACCTTCGTTTCTTGCAATGTACCAAGGATCCGGACGACACTATCGAGATCTTGCGTTACACTGCTTATCCCACGAGTTGTCTTAGAAAAATAAAGGAAAGCAGTCAGCAGCACCCTGTCCCAACAACTTCGCAGAAAATTTTGGAAACGTGGCCATCTTAGAGGGCGCATCCCCCCTTCTTCTCCCCACATCTGCTTTACACATCTCGTATTTCTCTGGATCCAGGCGTCCGCTGGCTTGCATAACATGCATGACCACAGTTCAGTGCCTCAAACGCTTTACATCCCTGTGGGGGACTGGATCATGCGAATACAAAGATCGTAGCCATCCCACGGGATACCCGTCGCGTTGAGCGCGAACGATCGAGAAGTAGACGTTCGATGTTTCGTTGTAATCGTGCCACGTAGCGCGAGCGGCGCAGCGTTCTCGACGCTCCTCTCGATGCCGATCACGATACCAAGATAGAGGTGATTGGCTAGGAAGACCCGACATACTATGCCATTAACGCAGAAGCATGGTGGTGGCATGCCAAGGGTAAGAGGCATGAAACGTTCACTTTATCTAGACCGTTGCAATCGGAAAGTGCGACCTACACTGGCTCCCTTACAACCTTCTGCATGACTTTGCCATGACATACGCAGCTTTGACGCTAGTCTACTCCGGGGGACTTACAACTTTCAGAGTCCGCAAGTCTCCGCATTAGGTTACCGAGACTCACCGCCTAGCCAGACACACACACACACACACACACACACACAAGTAACGATCAGAGGGCAATTTAGTAGAGTACCCTAAAGACCCATGCGACAAAGCCTCTCACCAATACTCTCTTGGCTGGAGGCTTTTCCGGCCGTGAGTGTTGATTTGGCGTGGCGGTGTTGGGGTGCGCGCCGTGCGCGAGGCACTACCCGTATCATCTCTCGCACTACGTTTCTGCTTCTTCCTTGGTACTGCTTTTTGTAAAGCCTTGCACTTGCCTGTAGAGGACTTTTGTACAGCTTTCTTATGGTCGCGAGCTTGCCTTTGGCGCTCTTCCCCAGTCTTGTAGCGGCGAAACGAGCATGATTCATACAATGCTGCCATCTCGGTCAGTATTCTCCAGAGCGATCTGAGTGGGGTCAGTTTTAAACGCCGTTAGCACGTCTCACGTAATAAACTACGTGTAACCTACTGTAAATCACACTGAGCATTGTTCTGGCTTATGGCTGACAGCTTGCTAACAACAGATGTATGAAAAGCATGTGGCATTATCGCCCGAAGTTCTCCTCCACATGCGCTCTGGATCAATGCCTTGCACCTTGCACCTACATCCTGGCCTCATCACCGTAGGCAGCAGCCGCTTTTGCAAGGCCATCGGCAAGTTGGTTATGCTCTCTTGGAACATGCCAGAATGCAATCTACGTAATCTTAGTCTCGTATACAGCCAACATACGTTTGTGAGTGACAACTAACTGTCACGTTCTTCGCTTCGTGCGTTGCCAGTGCGCCATCGAGAGCAAGGAACAAATCCAGATTTGCTGGTTTAGTACCCTTGGACGTACGCCAGTTATTGCGCTATAAACTCGGTCAGAAGTGTCAAGGGAAGCCCTTGTCAACACAGTCAGGACATACCCTCCATTTTGGTAACCATTCGGTCATCCCCTTCACAACATACTCGGAGTCGGTCGCGACAATCCAAGCTCCAGCTTCGCTGTTGGAATTCTTGTCGTAAGTCTTAGCGACTAACTCCAAGCCTAATATTGCTGCACATAATTCCGCTCGCTGGTTTGACCGTACTGGGAAGTTGTCTACCATGTCCGTGATAGGTTTCGACAGTTGGCTACTATTACCGTTGCCGTATGCTACACCAACTCCTGCTTTTGCTCCAGGTCGTCCGTTGTTCGTACACGCACCATCAGTGAATACGATGTAAAAGTGGTGGCAGGGTTTAGCTGGCCGACGGTCCCAAGGAAGGTCATGAAGTTCATTGTTACATGCGCAGCAGTATAACAGAAAGTCTCTGCATTCAGGACATTCTTGGAGAAGTTCTGGTACAGACCAACCTTTGGTTTTAGGACAGAGGATAAGCTTCCTATCGTGGATGATATTTTCGTAGTGATCCATCTTTGTGAGAGCACTTGGCGAAACCAAGGTATGGTCTTGATGTTGACTTATGGTTTACAGCGGGGCTCTACTTGAGCGAGGCGCTGGCGTTCGGCAGATCTCTCGAGCCGTTTGATATAGCCCGCATCATTCCGGCTAGTTCCGCAATCACCACATGCGCCCAGTCGCGCATCCCAAACACGACAAAAAGCGAGAACTCAACCTTTAGAATTGTCCATCACAACAGACTCAAAAACATCTACCAGCAGTCGCAACAGTTTCTAAAGACCATCACGCGTCCCCCCACGTCGGTTGGCGCCTGTGAAATCACTGTTGTGGCCCTGGCAGAAACAGATGAACAAAATCTGCGAGCAAGTTACTCGATACGACACGCCCACTAAACGCAGCCGCAGCCATGAAGCCGCGACACAGCAATGCAAGACGCGACGACGAATCCCAGACATCCCTTGAGCACAATGGTCACAACATACACAATACAGCCACTGATAGGCTTCCTGGCCAGCGCATCGTACACGGACAAAGTCTGCAACATCCTGCATCGACGCGACGGAAGCTGCACAAGGGGATTGGTGGATTCGAGGAGTCTGGTAGCCAAAACTGATAAAGAAGAAGACAAATACATGTCGCGGCTTGCAGCTGGGCGGGTACACCAGCCAATGCGTTGCGAGGCGAGCGGCCGTACGTACCGGTAGCTGTCTCCTGCAATCTGGCGAGTCACAGGATCATAATACGCGCTGTGTAAGCTGCAATACGCATGCCAGCGTGCTTGGCTGCAGCGATTCCAATCCACTGCGCCTATTATAGTGAAGCCTGTGCTTCCTGTCAACGTCTATCGGTGTCCAGCCGATATTAGCACAGAAAGAAAAACTCATTCGTTCGTGCATTATCATAGCGCGCGGGCTAGGATGTTTGTGACACCACAATAGAATGGAAGCGTTCGAGTACTGTAGTGAACGCGACATGAGGTCTAATGGCCTCAAGCTCTTGGCTTGAATGTGTCCATAGTCCGGATGACGCGCTCACTGTCAACTCATGTGTCGACGCTCGAATTTTTTTGTAGTCTATGTCAGCTTGCCTAATCAGCAATGCAGTGCCAACGACGCAATCCATGACACCGGTCAGCGAAATTTCGTATTATTATCAGGCAGTTTGCGGGTAGGCACACGATTGCGGACACTCATTAGCACGTTGATTAACGTCACAGCATCCACCATCGCAATTTTCAGAACTTGTTCTAAGAGATTGTCTTTGCAGTTGTACTGCACCATGACCATCTTCAGCTTAACTGTTGCTTCGGTGCGTTGGTGTGATAAACCCTACCACCTGCGCAGTTGAAGCCGACTGCGGGGTTACATGACGGGACGCGCAAGCCGATCCGCATCCGCCGTTTGGCTAGAGCCAATCCGAGGTAGGAGGTGCGGACCCAGCCGCCACTTGCTACTAGCGCTCGCTTCCAGTCAGTGACTTGGTGCATTAGCGTCGGCGTCACGGCCAGCGCCAAAGCTGTGACATGAACAGACAAGCTTCACGTAAAAAGTGTGGCCTGTGGTGAGCGCCTTGATAGAATTGATGCCAGCCTTAGGCGCCTGAATACGCCACTCTCTTCGTCAGGAGCTAGGCTACCAGGGCTTGCGTGGTTTTAGCATTTTGCGGCTGCGAGTGTTGATGCGGGTGGGCGGCAGCTGAGGCTGCTCATGAACAGTAGGGGGACGCCAGGCACGTTGTCGCAGGTCAAGCGCTGTTAGGACCATGAGCCTTGTCACTAACAACGCCGTGCGATGGCCGTCTCATAAGCTGAGCTAGTATGCTCAGACTTGTCAACAATCAAGCTGCAAACAAGCACTTGATTGAGGCTTGACGAAAACTGCAAGTCAATCAAGTCAAGCCTCCGCCTGGTAGTTTTGCAATCAATCAAGCCTTAGGGGCAAAGGCTTGATTGATTGGCTTGATTGGCTTGATATTTTAGCGTTAATTTTAGTGAGGCTATTGAGTTTGCCATGCGAGCACATGGTGTTGAGCCTCGCTTACTAATACTAGTACCAGCAATGTTAGTCAGCTATACTTCCGCGATGACCCTTACGTTATCGCACTCTTTCTAGAGCTGCTAAAGCCTACTAATTCGCGTATATGAACGCGTCATTTCGTGTTATACTTGCCTCTATCGCGCTATGCCGCCTAATCAACCCCCTAAACGTCCGCGCAGAGACGCGTTTGCACCAAACAAGCGCGCTAGAGTCGCTGCTCGTGGTACAGAGTCGCAGCCTATCGACATCGACAAGAGCCAACAGCCAGCTCAGCGTCTATCACCGCGCAAAGCCCTGGCGACTGCCGCGTCCCAGGCCACCGAGCCGCCCACCTTCGAGTCGCAGTTGCGCGAGAGCCAGCCTGAAGCCGCTATCGTAGCACTAACCGAGGGCAGCAGCGCCGCGACGGTTGCTATAACTGAGGATGACGAGGACGGCAATGAGGATAGGGACAAGGGTCTTGATGAGCGCTTTGCCGACAACTTTGACGGCATAGACTGGTCGCGTTTGGCGCTATATTGCAAGCCTGTAACCACCCAGAAGCAGCGCAAAAGCTGGATATACCGCTATGGATACCGCGTTGCGCTCATCAAGGACCCCGATCGTCTCTTTTTCGTCTGTCGCTATTGCCACCAGCGCAAGTGGATAGACGCTGGGCAGGGTGGTATATACGAAACGAGGCTATCAACAACAACCTCAGCCCGCCATCTTGAGCAAGTTAGACGCGGCCATAACCTTACAGCTCCTAGTAAAACGCACAGCACAATGAAGGCAGGCAAAGGCGGCCTGCGCGCCCTATTAAAAGCCGCTAGCGTTAAGGTATCGCAGGGCCTTGCTAATGAACTTGGGGGCTTTGATTGTCAGGCCTTTCGACATGCCGCAGTCGCCTGGCTTGTCGACGGCAACCACCCGCTCTCTGAGTTTCAAAAGCCCGCATTTCGACAGATGCTTGAAGCTGCAAACGTAGAGGCAGCTACGGCGTTGTGGACGTCTCACGCAAGCGTTTCACGATACGTGATGCGTCGTTTCGACCTCATGTTACCCCAGGTTGTCATTGATCTGTCGAAGGCCCTTAGCAAGATTCACATCAGTTTTGACGGTTGGACAACAAAAGGCGGTAAACGCGGCTTCCTAGGCGTTGTTGCGCATTACGTTAACAGCGCTGGTGACCTTATAGACCTCCCTATCGCGCTGCCCCAACTAACGGGCGCCCATACTGGCGAGAAGATTGCAGAGGTTGTTAGCAAAACTCTGCAGCAGTTCGGCATCAACTCGCGTACTATTGGCTACTTTATGCTCGACAACGCTACTAATAACGACACTGCTGTCCTTAGCATCGCGCAGCAGATGGGCTTAAATGCTGCCCATCGTCGCCTCCGCTGCGGTGCTCATACTCTTAACTTGATTGGTCAGGCTTTACTTTGGGGCAGCAATAATGATGCGTATGACAACGATAGCAGCGAGCTTGCTGTTGAGAGCGAGTTGTTACGCAACTGGCGCGAGGATGGGCCACTTGGCGTACTTCTTAGCGTAATCAACTACATCAAAACGCCGCAGCAGCTCGAGCTTTTTGAAAAGTTCCAGCGCCTAGCCAACGCTGAGCTGCCCCCTGATCAGCGCGAAGTACTTGCGCCTGTTAGGCCAGTCGTCACGCGCTGGAACTCGTATTATTCCGCCTTTGAGCGCGCTGTTAAGCTGCAGCCCGCTGTCAACGCTTATGCCCATCATCATATATGTCGCGTGCGAGATGAGGATACATATGCGATTAGCCGTGGCAACAAGCTACCTGAGGCTGCGGTCTGGATGCGATCTAGCGGCCTCACAGCTACTGACTGGGCAGTTGTTACCGAGTATATCGACGTCTTGAAGCCGCTGAAGTCGGCAACAAAGCGCCTAGAAGGACGTGGCAAAGACGCTGAGGGTCGCGTTGGAGGCGGTCATTACGGTGCTATCGCTGAGGTTATCCCAGTCTTTGAGTATATACTTACTTACTACGAGCAACGCGTGGAAGCCTATGAGGCTGTTGACTATAACGCGCATGACGAAGCGCCCGAAGACCACCTTGCGATTAACCTCCGCGCTGCCTGGGCGAAGGCTAGTGATTACTACAACAAGCTTGACCTCTCACCCGCGTACTACGCTGCAACTCTACTCCATCCACGCTACAAAATGTACTGCGAGGTCGCTTGGGCGGACAAACCTGAGTGGCTAGAGGCTAATGACCGCGCGTTTCAGGAGCTTTGGGCAGAGTACAACACCTTACCGCGTGCTGTAAGGCGCCCAAAGGTTATCTCTAACGAGATCGACGACGCAATCGATGCTCTCCTAGACCCAGATGGCGCTATGGCTGCTACCGACGGCTATATGGATGAGTACGAGAGGTGGAAGGCGTGCGAACCGAAGGCTAGTAAGGGTAGCTACGCTGCGGTTCACCCTATTAAATACTGGGTAGGCTTGCGTGATCGCTACCCCAACCTTGCGCCGATGGCTATTGACGTGCTCTCTACCCCAGCTTCAAGCTGCGAGTGTGAGCGCATGTTTAGCGAGCTTGACGATCTCCTTGAGCCTCGGAGACGGCAGATCTCACCTCAGTTATTAGCCGCCATACAGTGCGTACGGCAGTGGCATAGGGCTGGCTTTGATCAGGGCGGTAGCGCTGCCGCAGTGACTATAACTGACGCCGATATAGACACTATATATCGATTGTGCGATTGGGATCACGAGAACGAGTACTTGGTATAGGCAGTTGATTTGTATAACACCAAGCCAATCAAGCTTCTAATCAAGCCTTAAGCTGGAAACTATAAACAAGCCAATCAATCAAGCCTAACAACAGATGTTCAAGCCTCAAGTCAAGCCGGAAGCTGAGACTTGATTGACTTGATTGTTGACAAGTCTGGTCCAGAAGAAGGCGAGGTAGAAGTAGAAGACGAAGTAGGGGCTGAATGCAGCCGGTTGCAAGAGGCCGATGGATTTCACTTACAAAGCCTTATCGTTCCCAGCTAGGTTTCTCAATATACTCAATATACTTAATATATTCAATACTCAATACTTAATACTCAATATTCAATACATATTTCTTCAATATTGAACCTTTTCAATATGAGCTTATATGGAGTATTGAATACCGAATACAGCACTGTCCCCAAGCACCATTATCATAACCACATCCACAAAACATAGCAATGCAGGTTTCTCCTGCCCATTTACTAAGTAGAATTCGCTGACTGGTCGTAGAACTGCAACCGACGACGACGATCTCCTTACCCTGAGCGCTCGCACGTCGACGCTCCTCGACACCGCCGCTGATCGCGCAAGCATCATTTGCACAACGCGCCCACTTCCCAGTCCTCACATCGCTGTTATATATGAAGAGAAATTCTAGCGGATGCTAGCTACTACCTGTAATCTCCACGAGCCTGGCCAGCCACACGCCAGAGTGCTGTACAGCCTACGTGCAAGGCGGCATCGACGTGATGGGCTGCAGTACCACACCGAAGAGAGTTGTGCTCCGCTTCAAAGTCAGATACGAGCTTAAGGAATGCGCAATCAATAAAAGTTTCTCTACAACATGATGTCCAGAATAGGGGCCACGGGTGTGAGATTGTTGGTAGCGGATGAGAAGGAACGTTGGCTTGCCAGCGTTACCCAACAAGTCCAGGTCAGTGCCAAATGTACGTAGAAGAGGCTGCAAACTCGACCGTGGACATGTTTTTATACAAGGCTACGTGGTTATACTTTCCCTCTTCTTCTCTTTTCTCTTATTCTTTAACAAGGTACGAATCGATACAACGATCGGTATTGTGTTCAGGTCTAGAGCGTACTCTCACTAGGGCCTTGACTGCATCTACCAAAGCTTCCCTTGGATATGCATCGAAAAATTCCATCCAGCCAACTCCTTCCTCCGAGTCATCATGCGCCCAACGTGCGACCTTATCAACAACTAAGCGCCTGAGAGGTGATGTGGAAGGAGTGCCCTTATAGATAATATCGACACTCTTGGGTCCCAAATTCCACTCAGCACTCTGTATTGCCGCTAGCATGGTCTTCACCACTGCGTTTTTATACTTAACGTCTACGATCTTTTCGCCGAAGACATATGCTTCTGCAAGCATGACGAAGACTTTCTCTGCTTCTTCAGCCTTCTTTTGACGTGAGTCTTCGCCCGCGTCGTATAGCTTGATTGGCATGTTGCCAGAGTAAAGCCATCTAATGTAATCGCTGACCGTTTGCACAGAGTCATCTGGAAGATCGATGATGTCTGGTTGTTCTATCAGCTTGGTCCACTCGGGCTTCATAGCTGTTCGGAAAAAGCCCGAGCTCTTGCAAAGGACACCGCGATGGATATTGAGGGTTTGCGTATCACCGGCTGGTTTCGTGACCCTTAACTTGATAATCGTGTCGCTCGGCCTAGCCTTGTTAGTTACGCAGAACAGAAACTCGGATCGCACCGGGTCTTGCTCCATGTCGTTTGCCATGTGCAATACGAAGTCTGCAATTATCGGTTGGCTCAAGCTGCCGCTTGAAGGAGGCGAAGTCACGGACAAAATATTCGATGTTGAGGACCTCGAGGACAGTCGCAATCGTTACTCAGATGCTAAGAAAAGTCATTAATGCACCAAGATCTATGGAACGATAGTTTCAAGACTTAAGATACAGAACGGTGTGAATTTGTAGAACATGAAGAAACCAGCGTTTTTGGCGAAAGCGGGATACTGTCAGACGCACGTGGAAGGCTGCGAACTGAACACGGGACGTGCATGACGCTACGTGGCTCGTTGTACAAAAGCAACCCGTACGTCGGGCGCCGATTTTACAAAACCAAAATGCTTTTGTCGCAGCAAGTGCGAAGAGTGCAGCACTCGAGCTTACGAATCAGACTACCAACGGCTATAAGTACGCTGGCAAATGGGTTGGTCCGAAATTTGCGGATGGGTTGCCAGATATCTCCACGAATACTCGTCCAAATCAAGTAAATTTTGATTCATTAGATAGCTAGAAGCTAGTTCTACAGCTTCCTTACACAAGACTTCTAAGTAAGTATGATATTACGTTTGTGAGAAGGGAAAGAGGAATTAAATGAGGGGAGAACCCTAACCCAACCCCACCCAACTGTGGGTTGCTTAATAACTTACGTAATATCATATTTATCAAAAGGCTTCGTATAGCGAAGTTATAGAACTAGCTTCTTGCTGTTTAATAAACAAAATATTCTCTACTTTGAGATAGCATTCGTTGAGATATTGGGAAAAGAAGAAAGTACGCTAATGACCCATTCAGCGTGTCCATCAACCAAGTAAGTTCCTTGGTTGACATCAGGGCGCTAGAGCACCACAGTGGGCCGGGCTAAATTAGTTGGAACCTTAAGCACCGACGCGCGACACCGGCCAATCACCTCGAGACAATCTGCTTACGTCAAAGCAACCGGTTGAACCGGTCGGTGCAGAGGGTCCACATTTTCTTGGAGCCCTGGTGTCAAGCAAGTAACTTACTTGGTTGACAGACACACTGGAAAACACGACAAACAGCGAGAACTCAATTTTTGGAATTATCATCACAAAAAGCATCACAAACACCTGCCAGAGGTCGCAACGGTCTCTACAGGCCATCACGCGTCCCCCCGCGTTGTTTTGGCACCTGTAGAGTCGCTGTTGCGGCCCTGGCAGGCACAGACAGACAAAATCTGCGAGCAAGCTACTTAACATGACACGCCCACCAAATGCAGCGGCAGCCATCTAGCCACAACACAGCGACGCGAGACGCGATGACAGAGCCCAGACATCCCTTGAGGATCATAATCACAACAAACACAACAGTCACTGATGGGCTTCCTTGCTAGCCCATCACCATCCGACAAAGTCTGCAACGTCCCGCATCGACGAGTCGTTGGGCCGAACAGCATCACCTCTCGCACGAATCACTTCACAGACATTCTGGCATGCTACCACCGATGCCACAACACACTTACAGATCACCAGACAGCCTCGTCCACTGTCGCCCCACGTGTTGAGGGAGTGGTGCCCCTTCGACACACCCGACAAGGTCTGAGGAGATTCGCGCGAGAGCTCTCCTGCTCAGTAGGCTTAACGGCACGCACGAGCGGAGCATTGCCCTTGTGGAGCCGCGTTACGACGAAATGCTGCTGCCGCCGCGCCTGATGGCAGGTCACACCACACCACACAGCCGCATAGGAACCTAGTGGACGGCATCATAACACTTAAAGAACATCGGAGATTAGGGAACACATTCCAGGCCCTGGGGCACGAGGGCAAGCTAGCACACACGACAGCTGAACGCTAGGGGGAGACTGAAGGTATTGCGGTCGCAAAGCATGAGGCAACCGTGCCTCTACGAGCCTTGAAACAACGTTACACACATGAGGCTTCGAGTACGGCATACACACAGGAAGACAGTTTGAGGAACACAAACGCAGGCAAACACGTCACTTCTAGAGACGAGATGTACATAGTCGTAGATAGAAGCCAGACAACGGCAGGCCTCTGGGGACAGATGGCTCTTTCGAGAGTGAAGTGGGGCGGTGCAGATTTACGTCCGCACCGTGTCGGCTGTCTGCCATGCCTGTCATCCGGGCATAGCTGCATTTCGCGGCTGAAACCGTGTAGGAATCAACCAACCAACCAACCAACCAACCAACCGACAGACACACTGGACCCATTTGCCAGCCTATGCATATGTCAATGCATGGTCTGAGGATCGCCGATGCAAAATCACTTGGTCGATCTGTGGGCATTCGTGAACTATACTTGTAGTGTAGAGTTGAGCTTATGGTCGCCTATGGGGCTCGAAGATCGTATAGACCCTAGGGTAGTCAAAAAATGCATGGAGCATAGCTAGACTATGCGACTGGGGATGAGACAATGGACACGATGCAGTAAGTCCACGCGTTGAGTGCGCAGACACAGTAGCCCGGTAAATCTCTACTATGCGTGGATCTTGATGTTGTTCCTCGTTACTGCCGATCCATGCTGGCAACACATTTATGACAGACTCTAGCATTGTCTTAACAAGCTGGCTTCATTAAACACGCTACGACTGGTATGAGCTTACGACTGCACATTACTTAGCAATGCATGTCGCGAAATGCTCAGTACAGTAGCGCTATTGCGTCTCCGTCGCCACATCTCAAGCGTGTTGAGATGTCCGAAGTGGAACAGTCTTGCTTTCTGCGCTTTACATCTTGTTGATGTCATGATCGATATGATGTTCCGGAGAAAAACATGAGTGGTTGAAAATGATGCATTAGTGTTTGCACTAATGTAATTCCCGAGGATATCAGTGGTAGATGAACTGAGGTCGATGCAAAATGAGGGAAGCCGCGTGTGGGCTCATGTATGCTTGCTTGATTACGAAATACATACTAGTGGGATATTTATTCACCCAAGGTGATGGTTTGATGATTCCACCGACTCCTCCTTCCCCTCTTACATTTGTTTATATTGCGGTAAAAACCGCAATATTCACGTTCACACCATGGCATTTTCATTACTTCTGATCAGTACGATTGGTCTCACTCTTGCTATTCCAGTTTCGACGGGACCAGCCGCCTACGGATTGTGTCAAGCGGGTTGTTCTGCAGTAGTTGTGGCATGTTACTCTGCAGCCGGGTTCACTTGGGGAGCTACTCTCGGCGCTTCCGCACCCGCTAGCATCATTGCCTGCAATACTGCCTTTGGTACTTGTCAGGCTGCGTGTGCTGCCGTGCTTTTGGCCCCAACGCCGTAGAGGGTACGACAAAATACCTATGTTATTTTTCGTGTATTAATTCCCAAAGGACTTCAAGCTACCATTAGAGACGGTTGCTACGCCCTTGATTTCTCGAGATGGGACGTTTGAAGTTCAAGCGCGATATTAGTACAGACATTAAGACAAGAGAAGCTTACGCGAGGTTGTAAAAGTCCCATGCAACGCACAACAGATCGGAGAATTGGAAAGCCGATGCGAATTTTTGTTCATTCTGACGTGATATACCTGTAACCGTGGATTCGTGGCCGTGCAGAGAATCCTGGGAACAACGTTGAATGATATACGCGTGCATCTTTTCCTGGATGTAACGTGACAACCCTTTTTATTCCTTGTCCCGCTGACTGATGTTAACTTAGCACTTGAGTGCACACCAAACAATTAAACAAGAGAGCCGCTTCCCTGAAGACTGCCACAACCCATGAGCTCCAGAGCCCAGTATATCCCAAGGTAGATCTCATAGTGCGAATCAGACCTCAGGTCGTCCTCCAGGATTCCGTCCCCCATTTCCATTTGTGGAGGACAAATCGTGGGAGTATTTGCATACTGAGCCAAACTTGCAATGACTGTTCTTGAAGTAGTGACACAGCCTGGGGCCGGTCTCGCTTTTCCCTCTCCCGCCCTGCCCTGGATTGCCTCGTCCAAATCCACCCCAGAATCCTCTTCCCCACCTGTTTTGACCAAATCTATCCATAGTGTCGATTCAGCGTTCTTTGAGGTTTTTGTGTAAAGCTATGAGTGTGGATTGATTCTCAACGAGGCAAGAGTGTGACGAAAGGTGGAAATTGGAAATAGTTGGGCTTGATATGAAGCGGAAAGATTCGTCAGTCTGTGCTGACACATGCTTCAAGAAGCACACCTGGATATGCAAGGAAATAATGTCTGTGCGAAGAAATAGCATACTTATACATCATTGGATTCCTCCTATATCAGCTGGTGCAGCTGAAACATGCCCCGCAGAGTAATACGTGGTGGCGTGAGTTGTCAACGCAGAGGATATCCGACTGAGCGGATACATGTGATGATTGACTAGGCTTAAGCTCGGGCACGTAGTAGTGGCCAGACCTAGAAGTGGCCACCCCAACTACTCCACCAACACCAACCCTTTTTTACTTTTGAAACTGCCCACTACCACCACAACGCGCTCAATATAGCTAACTCTATCCCAGGGCGTTAACGAAACTCAGCCCTAGAGATACATGGCCAACTCCACCCAGCCCTCAGTGCAGTTTTTCGGGCTCTCATTGGTTCACCTGTTTCGTACTGGTCTGTGCTGGTCTGTGCTAAACCTATCGCCTTAACTCAAGGCTGTAACTGGAAGCAGTACTCCAAGCGTTGATTCAGAGGGTAGTGCAGAGAGAAGGTCCAATTACCCTTTAATCCCCTGAGCAAGAGCTTGCGTTGCACGCGATTCTTGCTAAGGAGACAACACTAGTTGTTGTCCTCCCTACAGGTGGCGGCAAGAGTCTTCTTTTTATGGCGCCTGCCTGTCTCCCAAGCCATGGCATCACTATTGTTATTATGCCGTTTTGCGAGCTACTTCGAGACCTAAAGAATTGGTTAGCAGAGGCAAAAATTCAAGCTATTAAGTGGCTGCCTGGGTGTTATGAATGTTTGGACGATGTAAGTAGATTGTGTGTATTCTGCGTATTCATCACCGAGAGGTCTGTGATCTAAGCTTATATACATAGAGTAGTGGGCTGAT